GCTTTATAAGCATTTCATCCAGGGCTGGGAAGACAGCTCATAGTTAAGAACACGTACTGCTCTCTCAGAGGATCAGGGTTTGCTTGCTGATCACCAGCTGGTGCTCAACTGACAGTTCCCGGGGCTCTGACAGCCTCTTCTGACTTCTGCAGGTACCTGCATGAACATGGCACACGAAAGCAAGTACACACACACACACACACACACACACACACACACACACACACACAAATAAAATGTAAACAAATCTTTTTAAAAAAGAAGTGGTAAGACTAGAAAAAAAACATTGAATTAAACATCCTTACATGATAGAAACTCTAGGAATGTAGATGAGTCTTCCTTAATTTGTAGTAAATATTATGTTCATTGTTCTTTTGGTTTTTTGTTTTTTTTTAGAGAGGGTTTCTATAGGCACTCACAAATATGTGGATATATATACATACAATTATAATAAATCATAAATCAAAACAAACAAGGCCTAAATAAACAGAAAGGTAGCTTAAATTCATATCAGGAAATATCAATATCAAAAAGAAGTGGTTCTGGGCCATGGTAGTGCAGGCGTTTAATCCCAGCACTTGGGAGGCAGAGGCAGGTGGATCTCTGTGAGTTCGAGACCAGCCTGGACTACAAATTGAGTTTTAGGACAGCCAGAGCCACACAGAGAAACCCTATCTTAGAAAAAAAAAGGAAGAGAATGGGAAGGAAGGAAGGAGAGGGAAGGAGGGAGGTTGGGGCTGGAGAGGAGAGCTGGCTCAACAGTTAAGAGCCTTTGTTGATCTCGCGGTGGATGGATGCAGATTTGGCTCCCATAACCTAAATAGGGACTTACCACCCTCTGTAACCCCCATCCCAGGGAATCTTGTGACCTCTTTTGGCTTTTGCAGGGAGTAGGTACACACATGATGACTATAATACGTTCAGGAAAAACTCATAAAATACAATAAATATATCTTTTTATTTTATTTTTTGGTTTTTCAAGACAGGTTTCTCTGTATTGTTTTGGAGGTTGTCCTGGAACTCGCTCTGTAGACCAGGCTGTCCTCAAACTCACAGAGATCCGCCTGCCTCTGCCTCCCGGGTGCTGGGATTAAAGGTGTGCGCCACCACTCTCTAGTTGAGAGTCCCTTTATTAAAAGGTGAAATGTTGAGGCTGGAGAGAAGGCTCTTCCAGTGGACCCGCGTTTGTACCCAGCACCCATGGCAGGCCGCTTGCCACTGCCTGTCAGCCCAGTTCTGGGATCTGTCTCCTCCAGCCTCACTGGGACCTGAACTCAGGTGTACACATCCAGACAATGCATGCCTACAGTTAGCTTATTGATGGGAGATGTCATTCTGTAAATATGTCTGTCTTATTGGTTGATGAATAAAGCACTGTGTGCCAATAGGGAAACAAGATAGGTGGGACTTGGAGCCAAGGGGGATTGGAGAGTTGCCATGTGATCTCAGAAAGAGAGGATGAATTAGGCTGCGTCCTGGATAAGATAAGTCCTTGTAAAAATGTATAGGCTAGTAATTATGGGTTAATAGTTAAGTCAGAGGTAGCCAATAAAAAAACATAACAAATGGCCAACAGCTTCATAATTAATATAGCATCCTACATATTCATTTGGGACTGACACAGCTCTGGGACTAGTCTGGTGAAAAGAATGTATGCTACAACTTATATTTATTTTTTGACAGGTTATATCTACATAGCTCTGGCTGTCCTGGAACTTGCTCTGTAGACTAGATAGAGATCCACCTGCCTCTGCTTCCCAAGTGCTGGGATTAAAAGCATCTGCCACCACTGTCACCCAGATCAAATCTTTTTTTAAAGAAGAAATGTTTAAGAAGGGGTAAATAGGCTGGGCGTTGGTGGCACACACCTTTAATCCCAGCACTCGGGAGGCAGAGGCAGGCAGATCTCTGTGAGTTTGAGATCAGCCTGGTCTACAAGAGCTAGTTCCAGGACAGCCTCCAAAGCCACAGAGAAACCCTGTCTCGGAAAAAAAAATATATATATATATATGTATATATTAGAACCTAGAAACTAAATGATCTCTTGGGGGAATGACCATTGACATCAGATAGAGCAAGTCATCTGATGGGAGAGGAGCCAGCAATGAGACCTAGAATGGAGAGGTGGGAACAACCAGAATAGTAGACTGTCAGAGACACACGGTAAAGAAAGTCCTTCTAGGGGCTGCAGAGATGGCTCAGAGGTTAAGAGCACTGACTGCTCTTCAGAGGACCTGAGTTCAATTCCCAGCAACCACATGGTGACTCACAACCTTCTATAATGAGATATGGTGGCCTCCTCTGGCCTGCAGGAAAACATGCAGGCAGAACACTGTATACATAATAAATAAAATCTTGAAAGAAAGAAGGAAGGAAGGAAAAAAGAAGACTTTCAAGAAGGGAACAGGATAACTATGAAAGGTTGCCAGTTGGTAAGTAAAATAACCTATCAGATTGACCTTTGAGTAGGGGAAGATGGAGGTCATTTAGGCAGTATTCACAAGAGAAATTTCCGGAGGTGAGATAGGGCAGAGGCCTGCCTGAGAATGGATTAAAAAGATTGAGAGGAAATCCACACATCAGAATTCTATGAGTGTGTAAAATGAGCAGTGATTTTTATTTATCAATATGGGAAGATCTCAAAGACCCATGGTTAAAGTAAAGAAAAGGGGGAGCAATAAGGGCTGGAAAGATGGCTCAGCAGTTAAGACCACTGGCTGCTCTTCAGAGGACCTGGATCACTTCCCAGAATCTAGGTGACAGCTCACAACAGTCTGTGAACTACAGTTCCAGGGGATTTGATGCCCTCTTCTGGCTTTGGAGGATACTGCATAGATGTAGACATTAAATACAGGTCAAACATACACATAAAAATAAATGCACAAAAAAGTTAAAGAGCATTTATATGTTAATGCCCATCATATAGCTTGGTGATAAAATACTAGCTTGTGTGAGGCACTTGGTATTATCCTTAGAATTGAGAAAGGGAGGAAGGGAGAGAGAAAAAGATTTTTATTACTATTTTTGAATCGTTTTTTTATATTTGTTCTTATATGTGAATGAGTATTTTGTCTGAGTGTATGTATATGCACCATGTCTGTGCTTGGTGCCAGAAGAGGCCTGAAGACGGTGTCAGATCACCTAGTACAGGAGTTACAGATGGTAGTGAGCTTCCATGTGGTGCTGGGATTCTAACTGAGATCCTCTGGAATAGCCCCAAGTTCTCCTAATCTCTAAGCCATCTTTCCAGCCTCAAAGAAATCTTTCTGTGTGTTCATTCTTTTTTTTTTTGAGACAGGGCCTCACTTTGTAGCTCTAGCTGGACTGGAACTCACAATGTAGACCAGGATGACCTTGAAGTCAGAGAGATCTACCTGTCTCCACCTCCTAGTGTGGGGAGCCAAGGAAACACTGAGTGAATGTGTCACGAGAAGAGGTAAGGCTCAGAGGGACTGCAGAGCCTTCCTGTGGTGTAGATAGACTTTTATTTTGGCCATCTGCTTACAAAAATTGACACAGAGATTTGCTAAATATGAAAGCTCAGCTGATTGTCCCACTAGCTCTTACAACTTAAATTAACCTATTTCTATTCATCTATGGGCTGCCATGACTTTTCCCTCTCCTCCTGCATGTTTGCTCTCCTCTTCATCTGACTGGCGACTCTGCCTTTCTTCTTCCAGAACTCTCTGTCCAGATGTCCCTGCTATACCTCCTGCCTAGTTATTGACCATTTAGCTTTTTATTAAGCTAATCACAGTGACACATCTTCACACAGTGTAGATAAATATTCCATAACATTCCCCTCTTTTTGTATAAATAAAAAGGAAGGTTTTAACTCTAACACAGTAAACTTATACAATAAGAACAATTAGCCGGGCGTTGGTGGCGCACGCCTTTAATCCCAGCACTCGGGAGGCAGAGGCAGGCGGATCTCTGTGAGTTCCAGACCAGCCTGGACTACCAAGCGAGTTCCAGGACAGCCTCCAAAGCCACAGAGAAACCCTGTCTCGAAAAACCAAAAAAAAAAAAAGAACAATTATCAGGTGAGAATTACATTTACAATGTCAGTCCATTTGTATTTGGAAAATTTAGAGAAAATACTCCATTAACTATTCTACTTTACTCCAAAGTTTATACTTAAACTATTTTTGTCATAACTTGTGTTACCATCCTAAAAGTATCTTTTTAGACCTTAAAACATCTTTTTAGATAAACAACTTAAGCTTTTATGTTTCTCAACTTTATAAACTTCTCCTATGTAAGTTTCTTCTTTGAATTTTGTAACAAGAAAAACTATTACTATTTAGTCTTCAATCCCCATCAGAGACACAAGAAGGATAAAATATTACTTGAGTAAACAAGAAATGCAGAGAAAGGAACTTCCAAAACTATAGAAGTTATAAAGACATCTGGCTGCTTGGATAGTCACCCCAAGGTTCCTTTGTTTAATGGGACATCCATCTTTGTCCTACAGGCATAGAATATCTGATAGACTCTTCTGTGAAGCAGGAATTTTGAAGGACTGTCGTACCCTGTCTTGGCAAAGTTCAACATCCACTTTCCTTTGTGTCCCGCTTGTCCAATTTGGGCAGCATACTGTCAGCAGTTGAGGCAAGGGCAGTTTCTTTGCCCAGTGACTAAGTTTGCCACAAATGAAAGCAAACTCCATGTGGAGGTTCTTTGATGCCCATCATCCTTTTCTGAAGTAAATTGGTACTACCAGGAGCAGATGTGTCTCATTATCATGAAGGGCCTTGCTATTAAAACAATAAAATGTCATATTCTGTAGGTCTCTAAAGTGTTTGAAGATCACATGTCTATCTAAAATATATTTCTGCATGGCCTTGAAAACATACCTAGCATGGCTATAAGTTTGATGGTTATAGATAACTATTAACCTGTATTTCTTTATTATCCTAAATAGCTTTCGAGTACTAAAACTTTTAAATGGGTTGTATAGATACAATATCTTAAACAAGAATAGAAACATATATACAGTATAGCAAAATAATCTTAAATTTATATCAATATACAAAAATTCATACCAATGTATAATATTTGAGACTAGTGGTTGTTTAAAAGAACTCAACAATCTACCCTTCTATCCCATCATTTATTCATATTATATTCCCCCCTTTTTCCCTTCAGAAAGAGATCCCTGATATAATCTCCTTTGTTTATCTTTTTCCCAACCATGATCAATAATAATTTGTAACCAACCCCCAAATGATGACAAACAATTATAGCCCATCAAATGACCAAAAACCACCCACCCCACCTCTTGGAAATGCGGGCGTCATGTTCTTTAGACTGCTTTCTGTTCTCTGAGGGTGATGACATCTTTGGGGAAACCCTGAGAAAACTGGGATAGTGGTCAAGTCCTGGGAAAATTATTCATAACATTTGTCATCCAGGCTCTGTGCTCCGGTTCTGGCTAGAATAGTCTGTGTGGCTGAACCATCTCAGCCAGCAGTCTTGAAGCTTTTCTGGATGTTGAACACTGAGGAAACTTCAAGAGAGGGACACTGAGAGGCTGGATCACCTGGGTCACCCATTTTCATTGGTGTTGGATCCCCTTGCTCTGAAACACACAATGTTCAAAGGTAACATACATATCTGCACTAACATAAGTATGGACTGTACATTGTACACAAGTCAGTAAGAGATGATTTTTTTTATGTTTGACATCACCTGCCTTGTAGTTTTTCTAAGTTTATTTCTTTATGTCTGTAGCCAGGATTTTCAGGGGGTCTCCCTGATCAAATCTGATGTCTATCAACCTTGAGTGAATCCACAGTGTTTTGTTTTCTGTGGAAACAAAAGCATAACCTCTTTCCCAATGCAACATATTTTTTGACTTTCATTTTTAAGTTAAGACATTTTCAAAATATATAGGTTGGGGAAGGGCAGTGGTGGCACACGCCTTTAATCCCAGCACTCAGGAGACAGAGGCAGGTGGATCTCTATAAATTCAAGTCCAGCCTCATCTACAGAGTGAGTTCCAGGACAGGCTCCAGAGCTACACAGAAAAATTCTGTCTCGAAAAACCAAATCATTACATGGCTTATCCTTTTTATATTATTTTATTTTCTCTTTAAAGATTTTATTTTATTATAATGTTTGCTTTGACTGTCTATGCCCATTTTCTTTTCTTTTTTTTTAACCCTATGCACAGTTTTTGAACACACTGTAACCTGTTTAGAGTTTTTTCTGTCTGGATCTGTCTTTACTGATTATCTGCAGTGTTCTCTGATCAAGTGAGACAAATTTTTGTTGTTGTTGTTTTCGTTTTGTTTTGTTTTTGTGAGACAAATTTGCTATGTCAACCACAATGTGGCTCTGTTTAGCACATGGTGCTGGCGGCTGGCTCCAGCCAGCAGGCAGTCTCTGTATGCCGAGCCTACCTGAGAGGCCTTGGTAACCAGAGACCTGCATTTGACTCCATGTTTTGAACTTTTGATTTTAGTTTTTTTCAGTCCTTATATGGATATATGTGGCCCGATGTTGGGTGCTATGTGTAGTCAGATTATTCTTTGGGCAGCCAGCTCACAATATATAACATGGAGACTTATTAATTATGAAAGCTTGGCCTCAGCTTAGGCTTGTTTCTAACTACCTCTTTTTTATATATAAACACAAATCTTTTTTATTTTTAAAGATTTATTTAGGGCTGGAGAGATGGCTCAGCCTTTAAAGGCTAGGCTCACAATCAAAAATATAAGATTTATTTATTTATTATGAATACAACATCCTGCCTCCATGTATGTCTCCACGCCAGAAGAGGGCACCAGATATCATTATGGATGGTTGTGATCCACCATGTTGTTGCTGGGAATTGAACTCAGGACCTCTGGAAGACTAGTCAGTGCTCTTAACCTCTGAGCCATCTCTCCAGTCCCCCTGACTACCTCTTATAACGTAAATTAACCCATATTTTTAAAGTCTATGTTCTTGCATGTGCTCATTACCTCATCTCCATTATACCCATCCTGGTTATCCCACGTATGGCTGGCAGCTCTGCCTTTCTTCTTCCCACAGTTCTCTCTGTGCAGAAGTCCTGTCTACAGCTCCTGACTAGCTATTGACCACTTAGCCCTTCACTAAACCAATCACAGTGACACACCTTCACACCATGTAAAGGACTCTTCTACAACACTGTGGCCTGAATTTAAATGTTGACAGTGTGTGTAAAATCTAGCAACTGCAGCTTCTTCTCCAGGATGTTTTTCTGAGGCTGCTCACCACAGAGACCTCCTATGGAGGCTAGCTAACTCCTCCCCCTGTGCTGTACATAATGAAGGCAGTGAGGTTCAAGGTTTTGGGTAATTTTTGCCACTTTATTAGCGTGCACACAGATTTTCTGTTCTTGTGTTAGTGTGTACTCTCTTCTTCCTTCTCTTTCTTTCTTTCTTTCTTTTTTTGTGACAGGGTTTCTCTGTATAGCTTTGGAGCCTGTTCTGGAACTCACCTTGTAGACCAGGCTGGCCTTGAACTCACAGAAATATGCCTGCCTCCTAAGTGCTGGGATTAAAGGTGTGAGTCACCACCGCCCAATTTGGTGTGTATTCTTTCTTCATTCCTTTGTCACCTTAGTCAGGGTTTCAGGGTCAAACTGCACAGGCCATGTACCACCCAAGTACTGGTTGCACATCTGATACTGCATTGGTATTTTTGTAGACTGGAGTCTAAACCAGAGTCATGGACATGCTAAGGCAAATTATACCCTCAGCTCTGAAAAAAAAGTTTATTATTTATTTATTTTTTGTTTTTCGAGACAGGGTTTCTCTGTGGCTTTGGAGGCAAGTTTATTTATTTTTATGTGTAGGTTTGTTTGCCTTCATGTGTGAATGTGCACCGTGCATGTCGTGGTACCTGCAGTGGCCAGGAGAGGGGATCAGATATCTTGGGACTGACATTACAAATGGCTCTGAGCTATCGTGTGAGTGCTGGAAACCAAACACAGGTCCTCTGCAAGAGCATCAGATACTCTTTACCCCTGAGCCAGCTCTCCAGCCCTGGCCAAATGATTTTATAGTGCTATTCTTTTATATACATTAAGAAACTTTGGAATAATACTTTGGAAGGCACACTGAGGTCAGGGAGAGGAGCTGAAGAATGATTTGCTTTGGACATGTGCTTGTGTTACCAGTTCAAATAGTGAATTACAAGAGGTAAAAATCCTTGTAAGAGCTGGGTATTGGTGGCGCACACCTTCAGTCCCAGTAGTTGGGAGGCAGAGGCAGGTGAATCTCTGTGAGTTCGAGACCAGCCTGGTCTACAGAGCAAGTTCCAAGACAGCCTCTAAAATAATACAGAGAAACCCTGTCTTGAAAAACAAACAAAAATCCTTGTAAGAAAAATTTTATGACATTGGGAAAAGAAATTGCAGAGGATACTAGACAATGAAAATACTTCCCATGCTTCTGGATTGGCAAACTGGCTATTCTATGACTATACTATGAAAAGCAATCTACAGATTCGATGCAATCCTCATCAAAATTCCAGTGACATTTTCACAGAACTTGAAAAAAATCCTATGATTCTCATGGAAATTCAAAAGGCTATGGATAGCCAAAGCAGTTCTAAGCAGAAAGAACACAGGGTATTACATTCCCTGACTTAAAACTGTACTATGGGCCACAGTGACAAAGACAGCATGGCACTGGAGCAAAAATATATATGTAGACCAGAGGAGCATAATAAAAGACCCAGTGATAGCCGGGCGTTGGTGGCGCACGCCTTTAATCCCAGCACTCGGGAGGCAGAGGCAGGCGGATCTCTGTGAGTTCGAGGCCAGCCTGGTCTACAAAGTGAGTTCCAGGACAGCCTCCAAAGCCACAGAGAAACCCTGTCTCGAAAAACGAAAAAAAGAAAAAAAAAAAAGACCCAGTGATAAACCCATGCGTTTATGGAAATCTAATTTTTTATGCTTTGTTTTTTGGAGACAGGGTTTCTCCGTGTAGCTCTGCCTGTCATAGAGCCCAGAGAGCCATCTGCCTTTTCCTCCCGAGTGCTGGGATCAAAAGCACCACCACATCTGGCTTTTTTTCCCTCTTTTACAAAAGTGTTGAAAATGTACACTGGAAAAAAGAGATACCTTTTTCAACAAACGATGACCCCAATAGCACAGGAAATAGTTCCAAGAACTGAGAAATGGGATTACATATAATTTAAAAGCTTCTGTACAACAAAACAATCAACAAAATGACAGAATTTTCTCCCATAGAATTGGAGAAAATCTTGGCCAGTTATACTTCTGACAAGCAGCAGCTGTCTAGAATATATAAATAACTTAAAATAAAGCAAATACAAAAACCTGTCCATCAGTAAGTGGGCCAATGAACTGAATATCAAAAGAAGTACAAGGGGAGGCTGGAGAGATGGCTCAGTAGTTAGGAGGACTTGATCTTCCAGAGGACCCAGGTTCAGTTCCCAGTGCTTGCATGGTGTGACTCACAACCATATGCAATTCCAGTTTCCTTTTCTGGCCTCTGTAGGCACCAGAGTACACAGGCATACATGCAGGCAAACCATCCATATAGAGGAAATACATTTTTTTTTGTTTTTGTTTTTACGAGACAGGGTTTCTCTGTATTGTTTTGGAGGCTGTCGGTCCAGCCCGACTTTGAACTCACAGAGATCTGCCTGCTTCTGCCTCCCGAGTGCTGGGATTAAAGGCGTGCGTCACCACCGTCCGGCCGAGGAAATACATTTTTAAAAATGTATTCTTCTCTCATACAATACATCCTGAGTGCAGTCTCCCCTCCTTCCACTCCTCCCAGTCCCGCCTCCCACCGCCCCTCTCCCCCAGAGCCACTCCTCCTTGGTTTCCCTTCAGGAAAGAGCAGGCCTCCCAGTGTTGTCACCTGAACGCAGCATAATAAGTTACAAGAAGACTAGGAACAACTCCTGACAGCAGGGTTGGGCTAGGCAGCCCAGTAGAAGGAAAAGGGTCCCAAGAGCAGGCAAAACAGTCAGAGACACCCCTCCCCCTCACTGTTTGGAGTCCCACGGAAATACTAAGCTAACAACCATAACATACATACAGAGGAGCTAGCAAGACCCATGCAGGCTCCATGATTGCCACTTCAGTCTCTAAGGCCCTGCTTAGCCATTTCTGTGGGTCATACTCTTGTGGTGTCCTCGACCCCTCTGGCTCCCACAATTTTCCCTCAGGGATCCCTGAGGATACCCGAACTCCAAGGGGAGGTACCTGATGGATCTCCAGTTTGGACTCTGGCACTCCACCTAATGTTTGGCTGTGAGTCTTTGCATCTGTTCCCATCAGCTGCCAGAGGAAGCCCCTCTGATGGTGACGGAGCTAGGCACCAATCTATGAGTATACCAGAGTATCATTAGGAGTCATTTTATTGATTTAAAAATAATTTTTAAATAAAAAGAAGTATATATATATATTTTAAACTTTATTTACTTACTTAATGTACATTGGCGTTTTGCCTGCATGTATGTGTCTGTGTGAGGGTATCAGGTCCCCTAGAACTGGAGTTACAGACAATTGTGAGCTGTCATGTGGGTGCTGGGAATTGAACCCAGGTCCTCTGCAAAAGCAGTCAGTGCTTTTAACTGCTGAGCCATCTCTCCAGCCCTGGCCAATAAGTATTTTTAAAGTGTTGAAGGGTCTGAGGAGATGGCTCAGTGGGTAAGAGTGCTTGTTCTGCAAGCATGAGGACCTAAGTTCAAATCTCCAACACCCACATAAAAGTTAGGTATGACTGTATGTTTGTAACCCTAGTGGGGACGGGGGATGGGCCATAGGAAGGGGAGAAGAGGAACTTGCTGTCCCGCCAGCCTAGTTGATATGGTGGGCTTCTAGTTCAGTGAGAGACCCTGTCTTGAGGGAATGACATGGAGATGGATAGAGGAGGGCATCAAATAACCTGCTTTGGCCTCCACGTGTGTGCATCGGCCCCTGCACACGTGTGTGCATCGGCCCCTGCACACGTGTGTGCATCGGCCCCTGCACATGTGTGTACAGGACAGCGGTGAGATAGCCCAAGGGGAAAAGGCACTTGCAGCCAAGCCTGAAGAACTGAGTTCAGTCTCCAGATCCCATACGAGTTCAGCTCACCTCTGTCTAGAAAGCAAATGGCAACACACGCTGGCAATAATGTGAAGAAAAGGGAAGCCCATAGGCAGAGGCAGGCAGATCTCTGTGAGTTGAAGACCAGCCTGGTCTTCAAAGAGAGTTCCAGGACAGTCTCCAAACCAAAAACCAAAAAAAGAGGGAAAAAAAAAGGTCGGGGGTGGGTGGGGGTGGTAGCACCCGCCTTTAATCCCAGCACTGGTCTACAAGAGCTAGTTCTAGGACAGCCTCCAAAGCCACAGAGAAACCCTGCCTTGAAAAATAAAAAATAAAAAAAGAGAGAAAAGAAAAAGGAAGCTGTCTATTGCAGGTGGGAGCAGTCACTGTATGAATCAAACAACAAAACTAAAACTGCCACATGCTCCAGCTATGCCATCCTGGGCGCATACCCAAGGATTCTGCATCCGGCTACAGAGACACTTGCTCACTCATGCTCATGGTTGCTCTTTTTACAATATCAAGAAAGTGGAATCAACCTAGATCTCTATCAGCAGGTGAATGGGTCATGAAAATATGGTACGTATAAACAATGGAATTTCATTCTGTCACAAAGAAAAAAACAAAAGAATGAAGTTTGCAGGGACATCACTAGAATGGGAAATATATTAATTGCGATAACTCTGGCTCAGAAAGACAGATACTGCATGTTCTCTCTCAGATGGGGATCTTAGTTGCTAATTGTTAAATAAATACATAGAGTGGGAGTAAATATGGGTAAATGCTGGGAAACTAGGAAAGGTCCAGAAGACAAGAAAAAGGAGGCTTTGAGTGAGGGGGAGGGCGGGTAACAGGACTCATGAGGTACGAAAGTAGAAGGGGCAGAATGGTACAGAGGGGCAGGAGAGGGTGGGCAGATAGAAGCAGAATCCACCAAAATGATGTCTATGTGAAAACGCCATAAAGGAACCTGCTATTTTATAAACTGAATTTACAAAGATTATGAATTACAGAGGGGGAGTGGTGGTTCTTGTTTGTAATCCCAGCACTTGTGAGGCAGAGGCAGGAAGATCATTGCAAAGTTGAGGCCAGTCTGGTCTACATGGGCCATTCTGGGGCATCCAGGGCTATGTAGTAAGATTCCACCTCCAAAACAACAGACAGTGAATTACAAACACCAACCATTAGGTTTGTAGGAGAGAAAGAAAAGGGGAGAAGGGGGAGTTGGTGAGTAGAGGCCATCTTCTGAAAAAGCTCCTCCATAATGGGAAGCAGAGAAAGGCAACCGAGGAGGATTTGTCTGAGAAAGTTCAACATGCCTGCACACTGCTGGCAATAGCCAAGTAAACAAGGGGACAGGAAGGCTCAGGACAGGGAGGGACAGTTGCTGCAACGACAAGTTTAGGTGGTGACAGGGTCCACCAAAAGGGCAGTGGTGCAGGAAGATGGGGGTGGTAAGAAAGATTTCTCTGCCTGTTTCTGTTTTCTTCTTTCTTTTTCAAGATAGGGTTTCTCTGTGCTCTTATTGTCCTGGAGCTCAATCTGTAGACCAGGTTGGCCTCAAACTCCCAGGCATCCACTTGCTCCTGGGTGCTGGGATTAAAGGTGTGAGACACTTCTGCCAGCTTTCCATTTTCTTTTTCCTTCCTTCCTCCCTCCCTCCCTCCCTCCCTCCCTCCCTCCCTCCCTCCCTCCCTCCTTTCCTCCCTCCCTCCCTCCCTCCCTCCCTTTCTATTTCTTTTTCTTCTTCTTTTTGAAACAGGGTTTCTCTGTAGCTTTGGAGCCTACCCTGGAGCTCACTCTGTAGACCAGGCTGGCCTCGAACTCACAGAGATCTGCCTGCCTCTACCTCCCGAGTGCTGGCATTAAAGGTGTGTGCCACCACCACCACCCAGCCTGTTTTCTTAACAAAAAAGCAAGACCATCAGCTGAGAGAGAGACACTGGGCATTTAAGGAAAGGGTGCATAGAACTGTGGAGCCAGCTAGATGGTTCAGTGGGTAAAGGCACCTAGCACCTAGCACCCGGCCTGATGACCTGAATTTGCTCCCCAGGACCCACATGATGGGAGGAGAGACACCACATGTGTAAGCTGTCATCTGACCTCCACACCTGCAGTAGGGCACAGGCACATACACATAATTGTTTAAAAAAGGAAAACGTGAAAATTTGACTGGCCATGGCGATACTCGGGATTCTGGGTTAGGAGGATTGCAAGTTCAAAGCATCCCGGGGAAGGAAATCCAGCAGACAAATGGGGGGGGCGCTATCTGAGTACAGATAGCAATGAAGATACCAGAGTGTTGCCCATGCTCCACTAATGACTCAGAGCCTGAGCCTATCACATGTTAGCTCATTGCCTCTCTTACTAAAGTGTAAGTTCACAAAGAGTGTAGTGACTTTGCTCTTCACAGTATGCCCTGTTACAGTGCCCTACCCTGTGCAAAAAATATTTGCTGATGTCTGGATGTGGTGCTGTATTCCCATAATCCCCATCACTTAAGAAAATAGAGATAGGAGGTCAGGAGTTCAAGGTTACCCTCAGCTATACAGTGAATTCAAGACCAGTCCAGACCGTATGAGACGCTGTCTCACATAACCAAACATTTATTGAAAGGAATAAAAACTACTAAAAATAACTGATCATGATGCAAAGCTTCCTGTGCAAGGCATTACTGAGTGGACATTCATTTGATAAATGAAATGCAGCCCTCACCAGGTTACAGTGAGTCTACTAGAGTCTATCCCAGGGAGCCTAGGAGGTGGCAGGAATTGTGGGAGCTCCCTGGCACGGCCCTATAGCTGTGTTTTCATCAGATATGCACTGCCTTTCTCTTGCTACTGGGAAACACTGAGAGGTATCTCACTGACTCACTGCTGTTTTGACTTGGAATGAAAGGCTGTCAGGGACAGGCAAGAAGGAGAGTAACTGCCGCAGATGCTGGTCTCAACAGCAGGCTTGCTTCCTAGAGGCGGGAGTGCCCGAGTAATGACAGTGCTAAGGACAGAAGGAGGAGGATGGCCAGGAGGGGTATTGTGAGAGAGGAGACTCAGCCGCAGCAGAGCACAGAGATGAGGGAAGACAGGCGGATGGAGAGGAGAAGCAGGGGTAGCAATGGGGAGAAAGAAAGGAGTTCAGAGTGGGCAGGGGTTGGTCCCAGACCATGCTCACCAAGCGTGAAGATGGAGGCTTTACCATGTGACAAAGCACTGCAGTCAGGAGATGGGGTGAAGATGGCACATGAGGTGCTTGCTCTCAAGTGTATGTTGGAAACAATAAACAGTAAACATAAAACCACGCCAGAAAGTGATGCCTCGGAAAAGATGATAAGACAAGGATGCAGTGGAAAAGATGATGAAACAAGGATGCGTTGAGACCCCGTTAGGATTGGGGCAGAGGTCAGAATATCAAGAGAGTCAACCAGGAACAAATAGAGAGGCAGTAGCTAAGCGTTGGTGGCAGAGGGAGTGGAAGCATGGGGTTCTGAGGGAAAGAATGGCTTCTGATGCTCTGCAGCAGCAGGAAATCTAGCACTGTGTATGAGGGAGAACACGCTGGTGGTTTTCACATTGTACTCATTCGCCGTGCAAGCATGTGCGTGCGTGCATGTGTGTGTTTGTGTGTGTGCGCACATGCTAGAGCATGGCAGTCAGTACACAGCTTTATAGGAGTTTTTTCTCTCCTTCCACCCTGTGGGTCTTGAGCATCAAACTCAGGTTGTTAGGCTTGGTTACCTGCTGAGCCATCTTGCCAGCCCTTGAATATTTTAAAAGGGAAGAGCTTTTAGGTTTTAAAATATTACTGGCAACTGTAAAGAGCATTTTGTAAAAGATGAGCACAGAAATGAAGGAGCATCTAAGAAGCTGCTGTGATTCCAGATGTGAGATGGCAGCTTGGATCTGGACTCTAACAAAAAAGACGAACAAGGTGGACAGGGGACATGTGCTGAGGTAGAGGCTGTAGCACTTGCTGGTGCTGCAGATACAGCGAAGGAACTGGAAATCAAAACATTTTTTAGCTTCAACAACAAGTTGTCAAGTCTCAGGACGAAGAGCCCTGGACAGAAGTGAATTGGGGTGGGGTGGCTCAGGACATCTATTTGAGTCACATTAGGTTTGCATTGCTATTAGATACTGGAGTGGATGTGTCAAGTGGGCGGCTGGACAAATGAGGCTGGCACTATGGAAATAAATTTAGGACTCACTGACATTTACAGAGTACTTAAGCCCTGGGACTGGATGAGATCACTGGACAAAGAATGTGGAAAAAGAGGCCAAGGACTAAGCCCTAAGAGGCTCCAACACTTAAGAAGTCAGAGCCAAGGAAGACTATTAAAGAATAGCAGGGAGGCTGGAGGGAAACTAGGAGAGAGTGGTTTCCTAGAAGTTGGGGGTGGGGTGTGCGGACAAGGGTGAGGTATGAGTAGAAGTAGGGCCAGAGGAGTTTTTCAATTACATTTCCTTAGAGTGTGTGTCTCACATGCTTGGTTAGAGGTCTGATGACAACTCAAAGGAGTCTTCCTTCCACCATGAGGGTCCTAGGGGTTGGAACTCAGGTAGTCAGGCTTGGTGGCAAGCATCTTTGCCCCCGAACCATCGGGAAGGCCTCTCAGAAGAATGGATCTATAAATGAGACTGGCGTGGGTCATTTGTAAATGGCCAGAGAAAAGCGTCTAGAGGGAAGAGCGGGTGCAGAGCCCCGAGGAAGGTTCCAAATGCCACTTTCTAGGGACATATGTCAGCTACACTGTAGCTGAGACACAGAAATCCCTGGGAAAGGAAATCAGAGATCCCTAGAGACAGGAACCTACAGGGCTTCCTTGTAAGCCACAGTAAGTGGTTTGGATATTCTGATATCCTTGGAAAAGCTAAGGACTGTAAATGGGTATCAAATCACTTAAAAACTGTTTGGGTTGCTTCAGAGAGAATGAATTATATAGCAGGGTCAAAATGAAATAAGGGAATTAAGCTATTGGGGGCACTCTATTTGTTTATGCAGTTTTCTTTCCTACCCCTCCCTGGTCCTCTCCTCCATGGTCTTGAACTCCCATTCCTTTCCACCCTGGCCAGAGTTGGTAAATCAAATGTATGGGTGACTCAGAATCTCAGAACGGCTTGGGGGTCAGAAATCATGGGGTCTGTTGAGCTGCCCTTAGGTAGAGGGAAAGCATGCCATCATAACCCGAATAACGGGAGGGAGGTCTCTGCTCCCCATCCCTGCTGCCCTCCCCAACCTTGCTTGCACCTGGGACAAAAGCTGAGCTGGCAGTGTGGCAAGCGATGAGTTAAACTGTGCGTGGCCTACAGACGTGAAGAGGAGAGGCGGAGACGAGTGGTCCTAGTCGCCCGCCGAACCCAGCCGAGCCCGGCCGAGCCCAGCCGAGCCCAGCCGAAGCGAGCATCTCCCGCTGCCGCCGCTGCCGCCGCCCCGCGCCCTAGGCGCCCGCCCCCCTCCGGCTCCATCGCCTTGCTGCCAGGCAAACCTCCCGACCATGCCCGGCGCCCCACCCGCTTCTGCGACCCCCCAGCCCCACGCAGCTCCGAGCGCCTGCAGTCGTCGCGCCGCTACGCCAGGCATGCAGGTGAGAGAGGGGGGACCCAACGCCCCCACCCGGAGGGAGTGGGCCCTGCCCTCCCCAGTGCCAGCTCGGTGCCCTTCGCCTCCAGCCCCTCCTGGTCTGGTCCTCTCGTCTGGCTCCAGTCGCCAAGAGCTCCTTTCCACCGTGCCCTCCATCCCTCCACTGTCCCGACTCCATCCTACCCTCCTGGTGCAGCAATCAGCGTCTCCGCGGCTGCCTCCATCCCGCCTTTAGCTCATCCTGCAGCTTCGGGCATCCTCCTGTCTCAGGTCCCCTTTCCGCTCTGGGTGCTGCCTCCGAATCCCTTGGCCGATCTTTTCCTGGTTTTCCCGGCACGCGCCGCTTTCCAGCCCTGTGGAGGGAGTGCAGGCCTGTGGGATTGGCGGGTTTGGGGGCTCTGCTAGGGATGGGGCCCTGTTCCCCCACCCCACCCCCAGTTCGTTTTCTGCGCACAACAGGTCGGTGAGGAGCGCGAAGGGGGTGGGGTAGCGCACCAGCTTGGGGACTGCGGACTTCCTGGAGGGGGTGACAAAGGGGTAACGGGGCGTGTGCGAAGGGGCTGGAGTTGACATTGGTAGCGGGGGATGTAGCAGGAGGGGCAGGTGGGTCCTGGAGTCAGCGGGCTACTTGTGTCTCTGAGCCCTTATCCACTCCACTGGTTCCTACCGTTTCTTTCCTCCCTTTAGCCTCTCACCGAGCCCCCAGGCCTATCTCGTTCCTTTTCCTTCGCTTTCACCTGACTCCAGCTCTGTCTCCGTATGCCTTTAAATTTCAAGAAACAATCCCTAACTCCTCCATCTTTGCTGTTCCGTCCCCCCCCCATTCCCATCCCTTCCTTTTCTGATGTTGTCTTCAACACCATGTTCCTTTCTATCTCCATGACTTTCTCCTCTCTCTGATCTCCATCCCTTCCTTTCCCGTCCACTCTCTCCGCTTCTGTCCTGACCAGACCCCTCGGTCCTCTCCCCGGCCTGTTCTCCCACTCTCGCCCTCCTGCCCTCGCCTCCCTTCGGCGTCCCCCGTGGTTCTCCTGGAGCCCCTTCCCTCCCCGTCTCTTCCCCGCTGCCGTATACCTTTCTTCTCACTCTGGACCAACCTTTGCCTTCTCAACCCTGCACACCCCTCACACCTGTTCCCACCCCAGCTTCTTCCCTGGGAGTGTTCACCGTGCAGGTAGAGACTAGGAATTCAGAAGACACGGGGTGTCACATGCCCCTCCTCTCTGGAGACCCCAGCCCCTGGGATTCTCCACCCCCGGCTTGGAGACTGCACTTCCTTCTTGAACTAGCCATCTAGACTCTCCTAGGACTTTGCCCGGGAGAGCCACTACTGGGGGGTGGCTTCCTTTGAACACCACCCTCTTTCAGAAAGCACCTCTGCATTTGGATGGTTAAACACCAAGAGCAAAAGTCGTGCGCTTCCCTCCCACCTATCATCCTTCTGAAAAGGCAGCCAGCTTCTGGGCTTCATCGCAGAAGTGCCTGGCACTACAAGAGGTGAGGGGGCTTCCAGCACCCCCCTGCCCTCCAACACTCACAAAGATTGACTTCCCTCCCCTCCCCCACCCTCAAACTCCCTCCCTAGCGGTAGGTGCTCAGGGAATCACAAGGTTCTTGGCTCTAAATTAAGATCCAAGAAGCCTGAAGCTGTGGGCAGAGGAAGTGAGAAGGAAGGAAGGAAGGCAAAGAGGCCAGAGTAGAGACCCTGGGGCCAGGAGGTAGCAGGGACCTCTCCGGGGAGCTGTAGGTGGGGCTGGGGGCTACTGTGGGGAGTTTCCCCCCTACAAGGGTGCTAAGAAGCAGTGGATGCCGGGGAGCAGCAGCTGGCTGGCTGGTAACTGTGCAGGGGGTGGGGATGGGGCAGGAAGGGGCAGAACGGGTGGATGGGAGAGCTGGGGCAGTGCACAGGGCCGGTTGGGGTATGACACCCTCGTTTTTCCTCCAGTAAAGGCTGAAAATCTGGGTCACATCTGAGGAAGACCTCAGACACGGAGTGCAAGATGTGGTAAGTTTGGCCCAGCAGAGGGAGCCTGAAGACCACTTTCCCTGAGGGATTGGGCCCTTTCCCGCCTAGGCCAACTCAGGGCTTCAGGAGGACTGACACCGACCCCCTGCGCCCCCACCCCCACCCCACCACCAACAAGAAGAGACAAAATGAAGCCAGGGTCTTCCTAACTGACACACATCTGTTCTAGCAGGGAAACCTGGTGGGAGGTACCCAAGATTTCTGGTGTGAGCCTACCCTTCTCATACACGAGTTCACAGCGACCTGGGCCTCACCTGCTTCTTCTCCCTTCTTCTAGGCCTGCTCTACTGCTGTCCCAACTCCTCCCTCTCTGGCCACTGCTGTTGCTACCCCTCCCACTGCCTGTTCAGGGCTCCTCCCCTCGATCCCCACCAGCCCCTGCCCGTCCCCCCCTGCGTGCGGGGTGGCCCCTCAGCCCCTCGCCATGTGTGTGTTTGGGAGCGGGCTCCTCCACCAAGCCGATCCCCGCGGGTCCCAAGATCACGTCGGCAAGTTCTGCCCGGCACTGCACCTCCGGCCACCCCATCGGGCTTTGAGGAAGGGCCTCCCTCATCTCAATATCCCTGGGCTATTGTGTGGGGTCCCACAGTATCTCGGGAGGATGGAGGGGACCCCAACTCTGTCAATCCTGGATTTCTGCCCCTGGACTATGGCTTTGCAGCCCCACATGGGCTGGCCACCCCACACCCCAACTCAGACTCCATGCGGGATGATGGAGATGGACTCATCCTTGGGGAAACACCTGCTACCTTGAGGCCCTTCCTCTTTGGAGGACGTGGAGAAGGTGAGTGAGCAGGGCCGGTAGGGATGCGAGGGGTGGGGAGGGTGTTTGAAGACTATGCTGAAACTGAGGCCTCATCTGCCGGGTTCTAGGCTGATGAGGAAGGGTTGCCACCTGCAGTTCAGATCCACTGTTGAAGACAGATGTGTGAACATGTGGAGATGAGTCAACATAATAAACACTCTAAAGGAAACACGGACAGCATGTTGTTAGGAAAACAGAGAAGTGAGAGACTGTTTCACCCTGGGGATCGGGACAGATCAAACAATTGACATGTGAGATAAACCTTAAAACCAGAATGGGTATTCCTGGCAGAGGGATGCTATGGGGGAGGAAGGTGGCTGCCAGGCAATGTGTCAGCACATACCCTGCTGGATGGTGATTAGGACGGGGCCAGGGGAGATCATGCTGGAGGATGGCTCTCCCGGACCTTAGAGTCTCATCCTCATCACATGTGTGTGTAAGGCTTGGGGACGTAGAGGAGCTGACAGCTCAAGAGAAAGTTGATGACGAAGAACAGCCAGAGTCCAGAGAAGCAGACAGGAAGGAGGATTCACAGGGCAGTACTCAGCCACACCCTGCTTTGACCCCGCCTCAGGCTGTCTTCCCTCCTATCAGGTGTGGACCCTCAACTTTACGTTACCATCACCATATCCATCATCATTGTTCTGGTGGCTACTGGCATCATCTTCAAGTTCTGGTAAGCCGGGGGAGATGTCTGAAGGCTTGTAAAGGCTAGACAGAGGGCAAGATCAAGGACAGCCGTTTCGCTGGAGTAGGAAATCATGGATGAAGGGAAAAGACTGAAAAAAAACCTAATTGGAGTAGAGGAGGGCTGGGAGAACCAGTGCAGATTCCTCCAGAAAAATGCAAGGGTAGTGGGAGGGACAGGGGATTATTTATTTATACCAGGGACAGCTCTCCAAGACGGAGCAAACTGAACCAGGCTGCAGAACCCTTTCCTAGGGCTTCTATGGGGGGGGGGGACTGGAAGCTTCTTTATACACATTTAATGGTGGGTCACATAGTCCTTCACACTTTACTGAGAGAATCATTAAACTCAGGTGCCCAAGTCATTAGCTGACTTTAAACTTGAACTAGATCTGCCAGGTTCCTGCAGAGGAGAGAAAGGGCTCCTCTGGGCTTCAGTGTGGCAAGGGGCAGCTTGAAGGGGCTTTGCATTGGCGGGGAGGGGGCACTAAGCCTGTGGCTCTCCAAAGATGGTTTAGGGGGAAGCAGAAGGAATAGTTTGATGGGTGCATGATCTCAGAGGACAGTCTCCGTACTGTGGAGAAGTTGGAGGTGCCAGAGAAGGAAGGAGCAGCTGGGTTGACCAGAGGTGCTGGCCTAAGGTAGAGGGCACTCCAGTGTGTGAAAAGACCTCTTTTCTTCCGGTGCACCAGCTGGGACCGCAGCCAGAAGCGGCGCAGGCCCTCAGGGCAGCAAGGTGCCCTGAGGCAGGAGGAGAGCCAGCAACCACTGACAGACCTGTCCCCTGCTGGAGTCACTGTGCTGGGGGCCTTCGGGGACTCACCTACCCCCACCCCTGACCACGAGGAGCCCCGAGGGGGACCCCGGCCTGGGATGCCCCAGTCCAAGGGGGCTCCAGCCTTCCAGTTGAACCGGTGAGGGCAGGGGCCAATGGGATGGGAGGATGAGGAGGGAATGCAACTTAGGTCTCCAGACCTTTGGTGGGTCTTTCCAGGGCGGGTGGTTTTCTCCACTGTAGTCCATGACTCTCCTGCCTGACCTGTTTCCGGGACTCCCAGCTGCTCAGATCCTCTCCTGGGGGAAGGGGACTCCTGCCCCCCATGTCCTATTCTGTCACCCTTTAATTCCAGTTCTGCCCTCTTAACCCTGAGTACCCGCTGTCTTGAACTTCTCCTTCAGCCTTAGCCTACCCCTTGGTTCCTGACTATGCACTTTCCCTCTTCCTCTCAGGATTCCCCTGGTGAATCTGTGATGCCCCCCCATGTTGGGGTGCTGCCAAGCAGGAGGCCAAGTGGCCAGCATAGCCACCATCCACTGAGGGTGGGGCCACCGTGGGGAACTGGGACCGTGGTGGGGGCTCCCGGCCCCTGCCCTTGCACACCACCTGGAGCCCTCACTGACCCCACGGGCAAATGTTTGCCTCCAGTGGTGGGGGCTTCCCACACTTGTGACTTTGGGTCCCCATCCCCACCCTTGCACATTCACACAAAAGCCTTGCACAGCCACCTCCACCCTCACAGGTCACAGCACACACTCACGCTCGCCATGCTGCTCTGCTCCGTGTCCCCGTCGCGTCTGCTCCGCTGGCTCCTAGCTCGCTCCCTCTTGTTGCACATGCCCTGCCCCCTCTGCGTTCTGTGCCCACCTCAGACCGGGCTGTGCGTTTCTGGCCGGGTACATGTGCACTCACTCTGCCTCAGCACCACTGGTCTAGTTCCTGTGGCCCTTGCATGCTGCCCTAGAGGTGGGTGGGAGTGAGCTAGGGGCTCCTTGTGCCATCTGCCATGGCCGCATCTCATTCCATGTCTTGTTTCACTGTCCTTCCATCCCATTCCAAGGGCACTGGCATTACTCTGAGGGCTCCCCCACAGGTATGGGGGTAGTGAGCCTCAACTGCTAAATCCTGTCATCCACCTGAAAGATGAGTTTGGGGGAGCCACCTGCTGCACTACATAAGAAGGGACTCCCATGTCCTCCCTTCCCTCCCAAGTCCTTGTCTTGTCTGTCTGTCCTGGCTGTCTGTGTGTATGTGTCTCTATGGAATTCAGAGCCCCCTGAACAGGCCCTCCTCTCCCCACCCTTCCCTAAGGCCTCCCTAATTGTACTTAGGCTGCCAGGGACTGAAGCCAACTGGTTCAAGGCCATTGGAAGCTCGGCCTCCACATCACCCCTCTTCCCGGGTCCCCTCATGTCCCCTTCTTCCCCTTCCTGCCTCTCACCCTTTCCTCTCCTCAGGCCCTCTTTCTTGTTGGTTTTCCACCTTCCTTCTTCCTCTAACCTGGCTCCTATGCTGTGATATATATTTTTGTATTATCTCTTTCTTCTTGTGGTGATAATCTTGTGGGATGTAAGTTTCAAAATTTTCAAATAAAGTCTTTGCAAGATAATTATGCCCTATGTTGCCTTATAAACCACACACACACTGAGGAAGATTAACCTACACAGGATAGGGATGTCATATATTTTATTAGGGAGAAGTCACATGAGAAGCTGAGAACCCAAGGTCAGGGTTCCGCTGCTCTCCAAGACCCCACCGGAACCCCGAGAGAGAGTGAGTCCCCTTCCTCTTAGCTCTTTGTCCTCCATCTTCTACATACCTGTATATCTTTCCACACACACACGCGCACACACGCACGCACGCACACACCCAGGACTGGCAGGAGGGAGAATGGTTCACAAAGGGGAGATGGGGAACATCTCCAGTCTAGACTGTCACCTGGCTGCTCTACCTGATGTCTTCATTTGGGACAGAACGGAGGAGCTGAAGGAAGGGTCCAGAGGAGGAAGAGCCCTGCAGGAGCGGAACTGGAACTAGGAGTGTGGCTTACTTGTTCCTTCTCAGGGAGGGTCAAGAGAAAGTGAGAGAAAAGACAGAGAAAAGGGAGGCACTTCTTAGGACAGGCAATGGGACAAACCAGAAAGCGACTGATTGATTGTGGACAGTGTCTCTCACTCTGTATTCCAGGCTAGATCCCCCCACCTTGGCTTTTTGCATGCTGGGATTATAGGCATGAGTCACCGTGCTGGACAAGACAGCTAAGGCAGAGGATAAAGGGTCAGAGAGATGGAGAGAGAAAGAAAGTGCGCCACGGGAGAGAGGGTTTATTTTCACCCTAACCCTGAACATGCCCCACCAACTGCCCGCCAAAAGCTATGCGCACCAGAAGCCTGTGGTTAGCTCATTAGCTTTTCCATTCCCAGGAAGGCATTTGCTGGGCTGTGGGGGTGGAATCAAGGGGTGTGTCAGGGGAGGGAACACAGGCTGCCCAGCTGGGATCAGTCCCCTCTGAGGTCCCAATTCTAGGCTTGGCTCTTTAACAGCCCTAGTAAAGCCCACACATCAGCTTCTCAGCTGTTGCTAGGCTCTGTTGCTGTGGTAACCACCCAGGTCTTGCTCACCCCCCAATCTGTGCCTCACCTGCTCCCTGGAAATGGGTAGCCCCAGGGAAGTAGGAGACAATACAGTATCCAAGAGGGCAGTGTGGGCTTCCTGCACTGTACCTGCCTCCATGTGCTTCATCTTTGAAGATATAAATAGCAATGTTTATGTGTGTGTTTTAGATTAAGCTGGGGAGCTGTAGTGTATATTGAGGGACGTGTGGCTGAACCCCTAAAGCACACAGTGATGAGTAGGGGGAGGAAGGAACGTATCTCTCAGGACAACAGTAGTGTTTAGGACAAACTGCTCCAGGGGAAAGCAGCAAGCTGGCCAGAGTAATGAGCCAACCAGCAGAGGCATGAGGCAAAGAAGCCTTCCGAGGAGGGCTGTCAACACACCTTGAGAATCTAGAGGTATCAGAAAGGAGGAAAGAGGGCAAATCTGTGAGTTCGAGGCCGACCCAGTCTACAAAGCTACACAGAGAAACCCTCTCTCGAAAAAGAGAAAAGAGAGAGAGCTGGCGGAAACTGAAGGTGCAGGGGAAGCTGCTGACAGGCTGTTAGGGAAGGGCTCTGAGGAAGGTGAGGGAGCCTCCTCAACCTTCCCAGCTTTCCCCAGGGCTGGAGCCCTGGCCAGAGAATGCAAAGGAAAGAGCATTTGTGCGGATGGGCTCCCTGCTCTCCCCTTCAGCAATCCTCTCTAAAGGGACAGTGTGACCCTGTGGATCATCCATATGCAAAAGGCACACACAAAGTCCCTAATGAAGGAGGAATTAATTGCTCTCTGATTAGACTGCAGTCCTTCTAAATTTAAATAAATTAAACACACCATTAAAGACACTGGAAATCTCACCTGTTCCCGTTCCCCAAACGCCCTCTCCCGCAAAGGAAAGGCAGAAGGCTAGAAAGACAGGAGACAATCTGGAGAGCTGCATTGCCTAGAGTTATACCAGCCTGGGTCAGTCCTAACGGTGACAACGCACAGGGCCCTGGGGAGCAGAGCTTAATTTTCCTCTTTTCTAAAACTTGAACAGAGAACAAAGTCCTCAGGCAGCTTTGGGTAACAGAGCTATAGAAGGGAAAGAAAGCAAGAGCCAAGATGCTCTTTTGGAAGTTTCTTGAAGGCTACACATCACAGGCCTGATTGGAGGCGTCATCTTCCATCACCAGACTCTTTGTTGAGTACATCAAATGACTCAGCCAAGGTTCTCCCAGGCACGTTTCTGGAATGCTTACCATTGTGGCACATACCAAAGCAGGGGATGGGAAAGCCCCCAGGAGGAGGGATCTCCCAGTAGAGCTCAAGGTGTGGAAATGATTCAAGATGGAAACTGTGCCAGCTGGAGAACCCCAGGCTAAAATTAACAGCCCTCCTCCCCACCAAGTCCTACACTTATACTCTAAAGCATTGTTCTGGGGACTTGAGTAGCTCCTTACAGCAGAGGCACCAAGGCTCTGAGAGTGGTTGATGAATGTATGCAGGGGGCAGAGCTGGAGAACCAGGACTTTTGGGAATTAACGTTTTGCTTCCACATCCCCCCCCCCGGCCTTTTTTCCTTTCACCTCCTTCTCCTTTGCAGACAGTCTTCTCTATGTAACCTAGGGGTGGCCTGCCTGTAACTCTTAATCCTGCCACAGCTTCTTAAATGCTGGGATTACAGGTACATGATGACCAGGCCGCTTAAACCTTTATCCTGCTAAACCGGGCGGTGGTGGCACACACCTTTAATCCCAGCACTTCGGAGGTAGAGGCAGGTGGATCTCCGTGAGTTCAAGGCCAGCCTGGCCTACAAATTGAGTTCCAGGACAGCCTCCAAAACAATAGTCTCAGAAAAACAAAACAAAAAACAACAATAAAAACACAACAACAACAAAATAGTGCTGGGGGGATGTAAATCTGAGGATCTTGGTCAGGGGAGGCAGGAAGACACCCAGGGCTGGTTGACAGTTGATGTAATTGAATTGATGAGCTTTAGGTTCAGTCAGAGACCCACCTCAAAAAAAAAAAATGAGCACAGGGATTAAGGAAGATATCTGATAAACCTCAGGCCTCTACATATGTACATATACACAAAAACTCAAACCAAAATAAATAAGGGGTGTGGTGGCTCATGTCTATAATCCAGCACTGAGGGAGACTGAGGCAGCAGAATTGGGAGTTCAAAGTTATCCTAGAAAGTGGTGGCTAGCCTGGACTACAAGAGATTCTGTCTCAAAAAGTAGACAAGGTTCCTGGTCAACCTGATCTCCAGGCTAAGCCAAAGCTACAGAATGAGACCCTATCTCAAACAACAAACAAATATGTAAAGGTATTGTTTGCTATTCCTGGCTGTAACTTGGGGGTATGGGGAGTCACTTAGACAGTCTCACTTTAATCATCTGTAGAATAAGATCACAGTTATTTTTTAAAGTAATTTTGCTTTCTCACTGAGAAAACATAATTCTACATTAGCCAAAAAAAGTCCTTAGTTCAGACAGACTATAGCCAGATCATATTTGGCCTTGTGGCTACATAGATTTAATAAACACACAGCCTGACAGATATAATGTCTTAAAAATTAAAGATTAATTCCAGGTTTGGTACTGAGCTGGATTTCGGACAACCACATCCTTTAATTACACCAGTCAACTGAAGCAGATGAAGCTGGTATAGGAGACCAACAGGTATCTGCAGAACAAAGGAAATTACATAAATAGACTTCAGAAAGTAGGGGGTCTCAGAGCCTAGCAGATTAATGAAGGAGGCAGATGGGCTGTAAATGGGCATTTAGGAAGTTAATCCCATTGTCCCATCCTGCTGCTACATGCCAGCAGTTTGGCGCTTAGGGAAGGTACCAGATAGGATAGAAGGAAGCTGATCTCCTCTACAGGATAGCATCTGTGACTTAACACACATTATTTCAGTATCTAGTGTGAACAGGAACAGTTCCTGACAAATCTTGTAGAGATTCAGACACACAAGTTAATTAAAACAGTAAAAGCTATAGACGAAGAGAGGCTTAAAATCCCATCACCTAAGAGGCAAAGATTCAAGGTCAGCTTTAACTATAGCTACCTAAGATCCTGTTTCAAAGACAAAGCCGGGCAGTGGTGGCACACACATTTAAACCTAGCACTCACAGGGAGGCAGAGGCAGGTGGATCTCTGAATTCGATGCCAGCCTGGTCTACAGACAGAATTCCAGGAAAGCCAGGGCTTTACAGAGACATCCTGTTTCGAAAAACAAAAAACAATAAAGACAAAGACACACAATAAATGCTATAAAATTTTAAAAGAAACTTCTCGTTGCAGTGATCAGGGAAGGTTCCCTGCAATAGTTCATAATGAACTGCTCATTTATGCAACAAACGTTTACTGAATAGCTTAAGTTCTGGAATCTATTGATACCACAGGGACAATTCAAAGTCCTTGCCCGCACGGGGCTGGGAGGAAGTGGCTCGGTGAGTGTTGTATTTAAAAGTAGGACCTGGTAGGAAGATAGGGATGTGGTGGGGGCAACAAGAAAACACCAAAGCAAAGATAAGAGTATCAGTGTGGTCAGACGAAGACGGATTGAATTTTGAAAGCACAACTACGGGCACATTATTACCTTTTCTTGACTATTCAAAGCAATGAGACTTTCCCCACCCACGCTCAGCAAAGACATTCGTGAAGATGCAAGAAAAAAGGTCAATTGCCTTCAACAGCCTATGACACTCCGAAATGAACCTTGACCCCTGCCTTCTAAGAATCCGTACCGTCTTTATGAGGCTGAAGGGATGGCTCGGCGGCAAGGAGTGCTTGTTGCTCTTCCGGAGGGCCGGAGGTTCGGTTCCCAGCACCCAGGCAGGGAAACTCGAAGCTATCCGTAACTCCAGTGGGTTGCCGAGGGCAACCGCACACGCTTACATGATATACACATATAAGTAAGATAAAGCTAGAAAGGGAGGGGAGAACCTATGCCTTGATGCATAATTCATGAACCTGCCCAGCTTCCAAGCTCCCACTTCCCGATTTGTCTTTCCCGGAAGTCCGGGAGCGCTCTCCAATGCTCAGCTTCAGCCCTTAACAGAAGCTGCCTTCACTTCCGCTGGGCGTCACGTCTGTCTATCGCTCGGCAGGTCCCTGGGTAGGAGCCACTTCCGCCCTTTCTTGTCGTAACTTCTGCCCTCAGTATCCCTGAGCCCTAGCAGCGCCGGATGTGCTCCGGCCGCTCCCGGAAGTGACTCGGTCTTTGAACTCTTTCCCCCCCCCCTTTCCTGCCGCCACCCTCCCTTCTCTACTTCCCTCCCTCTCCCCCCCTTTTCGTTTCCGGCTCTCCCGCCTTCTCCGCGAAATGAATCCTCACTGAGGCTGTTGGGGGGGGAGGGAGGAAGGTGGGCGTGGAGGAATTGGGGTTCCCGGGAGCACGAGCCGCAGCACCACTTCCGGGTGAGTGTAGAGGAGGGAGGGCGGGGGGCCACACACTGCCTCGCCTCGCGCCCCCGCCCTGCGGGTGTCTCGCGCGCAGCCCTGCGAGTGTGGGGTCCGTCTGGCGCCCGCAGTGCATGCCCGCGCACCCCGCCTGTCGCCCCCCGTCCCGCGCCCTGCGGGTCCTCCCACTGCCTCGGCTCCCTCCCTTGCCTGCAAACGCCGCCCCTCCCGCGCGCTGGCTCAGGCGCTGGCGCCGCCGCCGCCGCCGGGTGAGTCTCGCGCCGCCGCCGCAGCCGGCGCGCGCCAAGCTCCTCGCTCCTCCCCCTCCCCTTTTCCTGGGGCGAGCGCGGCGGGAGGGGGGGTCCACGATGTGACTGTAAGTGTGTCTGTCCCGGAACCGGAAGTGGCAGCGGAGGAGCGGGCGATGAGGAGGGATGGGGGGGTTTAGGGGGCGGGTGCCTGTCTGGTGGGTGGCAGAGTTCAGCTCCCTGGAGGGGTGAAGGAGGGACGTCCCAGAGACCGGTCTTTGAGGAAGGAGTGGGAGTTGACACCGGGAGGAAGGACCCAGTTGGGTGTCTCAGGGGAGCGAAGGTTTTAGGGGGACAGCTGGGGGTCTCCAGTGTATAGACCACTGAAGGTTGAAGGAGGTACTGCTGGGCACAAGGCCTTGGGTAGGCAGGGGTCGAAGTCCTCCTAGGAGTGGAGTGGGGGGGCGAGGCCAGAGGAAGTGGCTGGGCCTGAACTTGGCACTGTGCCTGACACAAGGACCTGGGCATCCCCTGCCCTCAGCGCCACTTCTTAGGAGCAGGGACCCTCCCTCATCTCTGCTGTCCTCTGACTCCCGGTTACTTGTAGCCCTGAGGAATGAGGAATAAGTGTCTGGTCCTAGGAGTGAAACCCAAATGCTGATGATAGAATTTGTCTTAGTTTTAGGGAACTGGCTTTATTGCCCTTATGTCCACGGAGTGGGTGGCACTGCTCGCCTGAGCCTCTGTCCTCCATCCTTGGGTTGTTGGTTGGGGAAGCCGCCTGCTTTCCAGCCAGCTGACAGGTTCTCTACATCTTTCTGGTGGCCTCCTCTTACTGGCCTCTGTAACCTAGGGAATTTGTTTCCAGAAAGTTCAGGAGCCCTGGAAAGGAGAAGGAATAAGACGTCAGGAGGAAGAGAGAGAGAGGGTAAGACAATCTTGGGTTAAGGATTTGGGAGGAGATGGGGTCATAGTCATATGTTTTTTTTTTTAAGTTTGTTTTTCCTTAACAATGTGATAGAATTATGGAAGTAACCGACACTTGTGATACTGGTGATTGCTGGTGATTGCTGTTAGAGGGGGAAAAGCGGCCCTTTCTAGTTTGTTATGGTACCCAGGAGGTTTTTCCGTGAAAAGTCGGCTCCGCACCTTTATCACCTCTCGTTGCCCCTGGTACTCATCAGGAATGAAATGTGAAATGCTTAGGGAAAACCATTGAATGGGCTTGAATTTTGTCAGAGAAATTTATTCTGCTGTAGAGACACAACGACTCCGAGCAAGGATAGTCTTTACGGTGTAAGTGGCTTACAGAAACAAGAAGAACCAAGGTTGGAGAGTGTTTCCCATTTTTAGTGTCCAGTGGAGTGTTTGAATTTGATGTGTCAAGTGGAGTTTGTCAGGGAGAACACTGCTTCTAAGGTAGTTTGAAATAAAAGGGATAAAATTGCATGATTTCTGCTCTAGTGGTAAGTCAGGGATAAATCAGAATGAGACCTAATGCTAATAGTGAAACCTTTATATTTTATTTTTTGGAGACAAGATTTTGTTATATACTCCTGGCTAGCCTGGAATTCACAAAGTAAACCAGCTTGACCTCAAACTTGAGGTGATCCTTCTACCTCTGTCACCCAAGTACTGGGACTACAGTCATATGCAGTAAGATTCTTTATTTGAAAAGTAGCAGTTAAAAACAACAGGGACTTGAGAGATGGCTCAGGAGGCTAAGAGCATTGATGGCTCTTCAATAGGTCCTGAGTTCATTTCACAGCACCCATGTCTATAACTGTAGTCTCATGGGATCCAATGCCCTCTCTTCTTATCAGATGAAACACCCATATACCTAAGGTAAATAAGTACATCTTTAAAAACAACAGAGGCCAGGCAGTGGTGGCGCACGCCTTTAATCCCAACACTTGGGAGGCAGAGGCAGGCGGGTCTCTTGAATTCCAGACCAGCCTGATCTATAACGTTACACAGATAAACCTTGTCTTGAAAAATCAAAAACAAAAACAACAGAGGGCTGGGGAGATACTTCAGTTAGTAAAGTACTCGTCATGCAAGCATAAGGACTTAGGTTTGATCCCCAGAATCCATGTAAAAAAGCTGGGCATGGTAAGCCTAGCACGGGGAGGCAGAGACAGGTGGATCCCTGGGGATTACTGGCTAGCTACCTTAGCAAAATTGGTGAAGCCTAGGTCAGTGAGTAATGACACCTGAGGTTGTTCACAGGCAACACACGTGTGCACCTTCATAAACATGCACAAGACAAATAGCACCACGTCAGTCCAAACCTTCCCCTTTGGATGGCTGGAAACATCGAGTGTCTGGGTAGAGGGCCAAGCTCTAGTGCAAGAGTGCTTGCCCCATTGTTAGCATCTGCTTTTACTCCAATGCCTTTTGAAATAAACCTTTTGTATTTCTTGTTTTTATTTTATATCTGTTTTGTGTATGTTTGTACTCATAATGGAGGTCAGGACAACTTGTGGGAGTTGAATCTCCCTGTCATGTGGATTCTGGGGAATTGAACTCAAGGCCTGGTGGCAATCAGTGTCTCCACAGCTCTTTTTTTACTTTATTTTTAAGAAAGCATCTTGTCTGGATGTGGTGGTGCACACCTTTAATCCCAGGGCTTGGGAGGCAAAGGTGGGTGGATCTCTGAGTTTGAAGCCAGCCTGGTTACAGAGTAGAGTGAGTGTCAACGAGGACTACACAGAGAAACCTTGTCTTGAGGGGAAAATACACAAAAAAATAGGGTCTCACATTGTCAAGATGACCTCAAACTCACTTTTGCTGAGCTGACCTTGAACTTGTGATCCTTCTGCTTCCACCTGAATGCTGGGGGTCATCAGTTTTACATCACCTAGTTTTCTTCTGCCTTGTGTGTTCTGAGGATCAGAGTTAGGTCATTAGGCTTGACGGCAGTCACCGTTGTCTGCTGAGCCATATTGACAGTTCCAAGTTGGTCTTGAAATCATAATCTCCCTGCTCCAGCTTCCTGAGTACTGGGATTGCAAGCATGCACCACCACACCTGGCCTGTTTTTCCTTTAATTTTTTTTAATGTATAAGGTTGTTGAGCTTCGTGTACATCTGTGTACCATTTGCATGCCGAATGGCTCTGGAGGCTAGAAGGGGGCATGGAATGTCCTGAAAGTGAAACTGGTTGTGAGCTGCCATGTGGGTGCTGGGACTTGAACCCAGGCAAGAGCATCTGGTACTTTTAACTACTGACCCATCTCTCTCACTCCGTATTTATGCATTTGATTGTTGGTTGGTTGGTCTCACTACATAGACCAGGCTGGTTTTAAACTGACCAAGAGTTCCTGCTTCTGTCTCCTGAGTGCTGGGGATTAAAGGCTTTGTCAGCTACCACAATGAGCTTTTTTTTTTAAAGTTTTTATTTATTATATTGTATTTTTTGTTATTCAAGACAGGGTTTTTCTGTGTAACAGTCCTGGTTGTCCTAGAACTTTTAACGCAAGTGAGGGGATTAAAGGCTTGCACTTCTACTGCCTGTCTTCTCTTTTGTTTTTCAATGTATCAATACAGTTTAAACTGGGTGAGCTGGGCGGTGGTGGCACACTTCTCTAATCCCAGCACTCAGGAGGCAGAGGCAGGTGGGGTTCGAGACCAGCCTGGTCTACAGATAGAATTCCAGGAAAGCCAGGACTAATATATAGAGAAACCTTGTCTGGGGGTGGGGGGGAGTAAAGATGTTTTGTGTAGAGATGGTCTCCCCCATCATACCAGTGGACTGCTGTAAGTTTTGAGAATGTTGGGTAGTTTGGGGGGGATTTCCTCTGTGATAGATAAGGGGAGAAAGTGAGTAGTAAAATGGTAAGTCAAGAATTTTTGAGGGTTGTGGCATCTCGGGCACCAATTTTCTTTGTGTTTTAGCTATGACCTTCATTCTTGGCTCTCCAGCTGGTTTCATGTCAAGGGATATGTGGATTTAGGATAACTTATGAGGAGAAGGATAGCATAGATAGCTTTTTGTTTTTTTACATTTGTTTTGTGTGTGTGTGTGTGTGTGTGTGTGCGCGCGCACAAATGTGAGAAATAACAGACGTGTGGAGGTCAGAGGACCACTCGGAGGAGTTGGTTCTTTCCACCATGTACATTCTGGGGATGGAACTAAGGTTATGGGATTTGGCAGCAAGCACCTTCACCTGCTAAAACATGGTACCTTGTCTGTAACTTTTTTTTTTTTTTTTTTTTTTTTTTTTTGGTTTTTTGGAGACAGGGTTTCTCTGTGGTTTTGGAGGCTGTCCTGGAACTCGCTCTGTAGACTCACAGAGATCCGCCTGCCTCTGCTGGGGGTCAATTCTTGGTACCCAGATTGGCCTGGAACTGTGTAGGGAAGGAGGAGCCAGCCTCTAACTCATATAACAAAGTCTTCCAGTCTCAGCCTCTCAAGTGCTTAGATCACAGGCATGAGCTACTGTGTCCTGCAAATTGCAGTATTTTCCTCACATGTCATTTTACAGCTAACTATGCTTTGTGGGCAGTAGTTCTTCTGTGCCTGATTTTGGACTGTCCTGTTTATTGGAAATGCCTCTTTTATTTTGAGACAGTCTTTCCATGGATCCTTGGCTGGGAAAGTAGAGACCAAGCTGACCTTGAACTCAAAAGAAGAGACAGACCCTCTTGCCTCTGTCTCCCCAGTGCTGGGATTAAAGGGTTTTATTTATTTACCTTTTTAAACTTACTATATTTCTTTTCCCCATGGGAAGGGGGCTGTACCACAGAGCCCCTATGGAATTCAGAGCATATTTTGTCTATAGTCTATTCTGTCTGCTAAGTGAGTCTGAGGAACTGGACTCAGATCATCAGACTTGGCAGCAAGTGCCATTACTCCCTGGCCCTCTGTTACTTTAATTTTTTATTTTTAATTAAAGGCATTTACCGGGCAGTGTGGTGCACACCTTTAATCCCAACACTAGGAAGGCAGAGGCAGGTGAATCTCTCTGAGTTCGAGGTCAGCCTGGTCTACAGAGTGAGTTCCAGGACAGCCAGGGCAACACAGAGAAGAAACTGTCTCAAAAAACACACAAGAAATTATTTAATGTGTATGAGTGTTTTGCCCACATGTATATATTTACACCATGTGTGTTCCTGGTGTGTCGGAAGATGGGGTATGGATGGTTGCACAAACATATACAAAATTTTTTTAAAAAAATTCAAGGCCATCCTAGTCTATTTAACAAATTTGAAGCCAGTCTAAGATACACAAGGCCCTGGATCTCTGAGTTCGAGGCTGGGCTGGACAGTCAGCCTCCAAAACAATACAGAGAAACCCTGTCTCATAAAACCAAAAAAAAAAAAAAAAAAAAAAAAAAAAGATACACAAGGCCCCATGTGTATGTTTGTGGTTATGTGTATGTGAGTACTCAGGCCAGAGGAATTGGATCCCCCTGGAGCTGGACTAAAGGCAGTCATGAGCCACCTGCCATGGACCTTCTGCAAAAGCAGTATATACTCTTAACCACCAAGCCATCTCTCTTGCCCCCAACCCTGAACTTCTTTTCTTGCTCCCACCTCCTAATTGGTACTTAACTGTATACCATTTGATCAGGCCAGCTGCTTCAGTATGGTGGGGAACATGGTAGACCAGTGGATTCTGTGAACATGGGTTCACTGTCACAATTCTCTGACTGTGAAGTGACTTCTTGGTCAGAAACAATGCTGCCCGGAATACCATCACAGTAGACGAGGCAATCTGTAAATCCACGAATGATGCTTTTGTTATAAGCATGAAAGGCATAGTCGAGTAAGTGTCCGTTCTAGTAAAGACTAAGTAGTTTCCTTTTCATGAAGAAAGTAGTCTAATGTAGTCAGCCTGCCAACAGGTCCCTAGTTGGTAATCCTGGGAATGGTGCCTGTGGGTAAGTAGCCGCTGTAGCCAGGTCAGCTGTGACTGACGTTCATGTGGTCAAGCCTATGCATAACTTCTGTCTCTGCCACCATCGCAGCTTTGTTCATAGGCCCAATAGGCAATGACAGGGATGGGGCAGGGAGAGCACAGAATGGGTTATCCTGTGTACTTGATTATCGGACTCCTCTGCTAAGTCACCTTTTGATGAGCATTTATATGGGACACAAGTATTTTCACCTCCTTCACTTGTTTGGAGAGATCTACTCATATACTTCTTCCCCAGATGTCTTTCTCACAATTTTCTAATCATGCTCTTTCCAAATCCCTGACCAGTCAGGTAGTCCATTGGCTACAGCCCATGACTATGTGTTCTACCCACTGCGAAGACTTCACTTTACCTGTGTTTCAAGGTTGTCCCAGAAAGGGGTTGTAATGCTGCACCTGTCTTCTTCTTGGTGTCCCTGAATAGAACATAGAGCCATCAGTAAACTGGGCTCTGTTTTTGTCTTCCTCAGTCAACTGATCATAGGGCACACCCCACGAGGCTATAGGTGCATGCTTGGACTCAGATGCCATTGTAATGGGAGTAAAAATCAGGCATTTGGGAAACTTCTTCATGTAACTTGCTTATGCCATTTATGCTAGAATTGCAGGTTGTTGTGGGTTTGTTTGGTTTGGATTTTTTTTGTTGTTGTTGTTGTTTTGTTTTGTTTTGTTTTTGAGACAGAGTTTCTCTGTGTAATAGCCCTGGCCATCTTGGAACTCATTCTGTAGACTAAGCTGGCCTTGAACTCACAGAGATCTGCCTGTCTCTGCCTCCTGAGTGCTGGGATTAAAGGTGTGTGTCACCAATACCCAGTGGGTTTGTTTGTTGTAACATTTAATAATTGTATATGTGTGTGGACCTGGATGTGCCGCTGTGTGTGTGCAGAAGTTAAAGAGGGGACAACTTGTAGCTGTCAGTTCTCGTTTTACCTTGTAGGAATTAGGAATCAAACTTAGGTTGTCAGGCATGGCAGCAAGTTCCCTTACCTGCTGAGCCATCTTGCCAGTTCTTGACTGTTTTTTGAGACAGGAGTCTTATGTATCCCAGAATCTATGTAACAGAGGAAGAGGATGACCTTGAATTCCTGATTCTCCTGTCTCTGCCTCCCACAAGTGCTGTAATAGGCATGGGCATCCCACTTGAATAAGATTGGCCTTTTTATTCATACTCCATTCCAAAATGAATTATATTGGTTCTAAGTGAAGTTTCATAAGAATATGGTCTTGAGCTGCATGTCCGTTTGCTGCTATCAAAAACTTTGTCTACTATGGTTGCTCACACCTTTAATCCCAACACTCAGAAGGTAGAGGTAGATAGATCTCCATGAGTTCTAGGCCAGCTAGGGCTACATAGGAAGCCTGTTTCAAAACATAAAGCAACATTAAGTTTGGGGAACCGGAGAGATGGCTCAGTAATTAACAGCACTTACTGCTCTTGCAGAGGACCCAGATTAATTCCCAGCATCCACAGGCAATTTCATGCCTATTTGTGACTCCAGTTCCAGGGTCTTCAACATTGATACAAAGCAGGTACACGGTACATATACATACATGCAGACAAACATTCATACACGTCAAATAAAAAAATTTTAAAACTCAAAACTTCGTTTTGGAGGTTGGGAGCATAACTCAGTGGGGGAGTACATTTGACTAACATTGGGGAGGCTCTGTATAAAAACCCCAGTATTATTATTATTATTTTGGGGGGTGGGTTTTTGAGGTAGGGTTTCTCTGTGGCTTTGGAGGCTGTTCTGTAACTAGCTCTTGTAGACCAAGCTGGTCTCTGCCTGCCTCTGCCTCCCAAGTGCTGGGATTAAAGGTGGGCACCGCCACTGCCCAGCAATCCCCAGTATTAGTAAAACAATTTGAGGCAGTTGATGGTGGCACAATCCTTTAATCCCAGCACTCGAGAGGCAGAGGCAGTGAGATCTCTGAGTTCAAGGCCAGCCAGGTCTACAGAGTGAGTTCCAGGACAGTCGAAGCTACAAAGAGAAACCGTCTGGGGGAAAAAAAGTGAAAACATGGTTGAGGTTTAGAAAGGGTGTAGGTGTTTGTGCAAGTCTGTATGAATGGAGATCAAAAGACGATGTCAGGTGTTGTTTCTCCAGAGCTGGTTTGTGACGTTATACTTGGTCTCTCATTGACCTGGTACTCAGTGGTTAGGCTAGCTGGCTACTCAAGTCCCAGGGAGCCACCTGTGTGTCTTGGGTTTCACACTTGCTAACATTTGTGTGTGTGTGTGTCTGTTTTCAAGATTTATGTGTATTAGTGTTTTGCCTATATCTATGTATATGAACCACTTGGGTGCAGTGTTGGAAACAGCCCTGGAACTGGACGTAAAGGAGGCTGTGTGCTAATTCGTGGGTGCTGAGAACTGAACCTGAATCCTCTGCAAGAACAACAGGTACTTTTAACCACAGAGCCACCTCTCTGGTTCCTAGTTTGTTTGTTTGTTTCCTTTTTTTGAGACAGGGTTTCTCTGTAGCCTGGCTGTCCTGTAACTCACTCTGTAGACCAGGCTGACTTCCAGCTTAGAAATCCTCCTGCCTCTGCTTCCTGAGTGCTGGGATTAAAACCTTGTATCACTTCTGCCAGTATTCCGTTTTTTGTTTGTTTTTGTTTAATGTAATTTTTTTTCTTTGATAACTTCATTCGTGTATGTATGTATATTGTTCATATCCATCCCCCCATTACCCTTTCTTATTCCCTTCCCTTTGGACTACTTCGTTCCTACTTCATGCTTTTTTTTTCTTTTTATGGCTCACTGAGTTTAATTAAGATTGTTTGCATGAACATGCATGTGGGGTTATTTACTGAAGAAAAACTCATGACAGCCTTGAGCTGCCTCACCCTCTGGAGGACTGGGACTATAGGTGTGAGCCACCACATTCAACTGCTTTTTGAGACTGGCCTTTTAGAGCCCAGATCAACTTTAAATTCCAGTGTAGCTGAGGATGACCTGCAACTCCTGATTCTGGTTTGCCCCAGTGTTTGGTGTTCCAGGAGTGTACTGCCCCATCCAGCAGAGCCTTTTTCTTAACCTGTTCCTTGCTGCCTGGGTTAGTCTCTTGTCTTCCTTATTTGAAAAAGCAGAAGCTGGCCTTCGGGATACATGTCTTTAATCCCAACAGAAGTAGAGGCCAGCTTGGGCTATCTGAAATGTTACCACAAACAAACAAACAAAAACATGGCCATCCAGTTGGCTCAGTGGGTAAAGGCATGCCCTGCCAAGCCTGATGACCTGAGTTCAGCCTCCAGAAACCACACAATGGAAGGGAAGAACCAACTCCTGCTGTTTGTCCTCTGTCCTCCACATGTGTGGTGGTAGTTTGTACATGTCCTTCCCACATGTAATATAATAAAATGGAAAGAAAAGAACTTTTAATTAGGGTCTTGCTGTGTAGCCCTGGCTGGCCTCGAACTCAACAGAAATCTACCTGCCTTTGCCTTATGAGTGCTAGAATTAAAGGTTTATGTCACCAGAAAAAAATTGTTATACACACACACCCACACACAAACACAAGAAAACCCAAAAATCGTAGTAATAATTCATGCTTTTTAGAATTGTCAGGATTAAGTGGTATAGATTGTAAGGTCCTTCTGTCATTTTCTTGAGGACAGGTTCAGCCAGGTAAAGGTACTTTCCAATCAAGCCCAGAGACTGAATTTGGTTCCCAGAATCCATGTCAGGTAGAAGGAAGAGAACTGACTGCACAGAGTTGTCCTCTAGCCTCTGCATGTGCACTGTTGCTCCTACATACTGACACCCAAAACTTTTTTCTTGTTTTGGGTCTCCGAGAAAGGGTTTCTTTGTATAGCCTTGACTGTCTTGGAACTCGATCTATAGACCAGGCTGGCCTCAAACCCAGAGATCCTCCTGCCTCTTCCTCTCAAATACTGGGATTTAAGTCGTACACAATTGTCATTGGACTTTTCTTTGGGCTACCGGGTCACAGAAAACTGACATGGAGACTTATTATTATTTATGAAAGCTTAGCCTCTAGCTTAGGTTTGTCCCACTAGCTCCTTTTCTGGTTTTTCCAAACAGGGTTTCTCTTTGTAATAGCCCTAGATACCCTGGAACTCACCCTGTAGACCAGGTTGGCCTCAAACTCACAGAAATCTGCCTGCCTCTGCCTTTAAGTGCTGGGATTAAAGATGTGTGCTCTACCACCTCCTGGCCTCATTATTTCTTTTTTTGTTGTTGTTTTTCAAGACAGGTTTTCTCTGTGGCTTTAGAGCCTGTTCTGGAACTCACTCTGTAGTCCAGGCTGGCCTCGAACTCACAGAGATCCACCTGCCTCTGCCTCCCAAGTGCTTGGATTAGAGGCATGCGCCATCAACGCCTGGCTTCACTGGCTCTTATAATTTAAATTAACCCATTTCTGTTCATCTCCGTGTTGCCACGTGACTCATGGCTTTTACCTCTCCTCCTGCATGTCTGTTCCCTCTGTGTCCGCTGGCAACTCCTTTCTTCCCAGAGCTCTCTCTGTCCTGAAGTCCCTGCTATGCCTCCTGCCTAGCTATTGGCCATTGAGCATTTATTAAACAATCACAGTGACATATTTTTACACAGTGTAAAGGAATAGTCCACAGCATGCCACCACCACCTGACCAATAGGAACTCTTTAGTCTTCAACACAAAACACAATGCTGCTGCTGCTTGCATCCACACGACTTTGTATGGCAGTGGATAGCTCCAGTTGCCTGTAGTAGTGGTTCTGTAGGCCTTTTTGTCCTTTTTAGACATTGTATAAAGCCTCCGAATCCTTTAGGGACTCTTGGAGCTTTCTCTGCTTAACTGAGCAGTAGGAAAATATAAGCGCATGTAAGTTTTGTATTCTCATTTTCAGGAATTCTTTATGAGGACATTTTTTTTTTGGACTTCTGTGAATTTTCATATCTGTAATACATTTGCTTCTTTTATTCTTTAGGGAGAAACCAGAAATTAGACCTCCCTTTAATTCTGCAGCCTAATTCTCTACTTCACTCCCTTTGTCCATCATATTCTTCTCTTAATTTTGTTTTGTTTTTTTCAAGACAGGGTTTCTCTGTGTAGCCCTGGCTGTCCTAGCACTCCCTCTGTAGACCAGGCTAGCTTAGAACCCAGATCTGCCTGCCTCTGCCTCCTGAGTGCTGGAATTAAAGGCGTGTGCCACCACCTGGTGATGTGCCTTCTATTTTATTCTCTTCAAGGGAAGAGGAGAAAAACAAATGTTATAGCTGATGTTTGAACTTCTAAGCATCTTTTTGAAAATGTATATAGAGCCCACTATATTCAAATCAATACAAAATAACGTTTGAGCCACATCAAGGTCAGTGGGAAGATATCAATGTAGAATATGTGATCGTTGCCCCCAAAAAGTTTAGCCAGATTGGATCTTAAACTGTAATCACATTGTTTCTGTTGCCTTAGAAGGTCCTGAAACTCCTTTATATAAAAAGTCAGGTTCAGCTAGATTAGCATATTAAAAGAATTGTTATTGTTCAACTGGCTTCCATAGATTCAGTAGGAAATGTTACACTGTTGATGGTGTGCTGTGTGGGTGTGCCTGAGATGACTATCTCTTCTGATCATGAAGAAGCATTAGGACTGTTTCCTAAGGAATATGATACAACAGCTGTGTGTATGGCATTTATATTATATTTAGTAATTATAAGTCATCTGTAGAGATGTTTACAGTATATGTGTGGTTACAAGTATGTGTCCTGGCCGGGCGTTGGTGGCACACGCCTTTAATCCCAGTACTTGGGAGGCAGAGACAGGCGGATCTCTGTGAGTTCGAGACCAGCCTGGTCTACAGAGTGAGTTCCAGGACAGTCTCCAAAACAATACAGAGAAACCCTGTCTTGAAAAACCAAAAGAAAAAAAACAACCAAGTATGTGTCCTATAACTTGTTTATTTTGTGTGCATGATGTTGTGTGAGGGTCCAGGGCCACGTGCATGTCACAATGTGCATGTGGAGGTCAGAGGACGAGATGTGGGAGGTGTCTCTTTCTTGCCAGTTCTCTCATTTTATAAAAGGGACTTGAAGGATGGCTCGTTGGGTGTGAAGGTGCTTGCTGCCAAGCCTGACGAGTTGAGTTCAGTCCCTGGGACACACATCATGGAAGGAAAGGAATGACTCCCTAAGGTATCCTCTAACCTTCATACATGTGCCATGCATGTGACTACACATGCACAGTTACACAGATATAAATGAAGTTTTCAGTTGTTTAAAGGGAATTAAACATGTACTTTTGCTGTCCATTGGGAACAAGTCTTGGAATCAATCCCCTGGGGATACCCAGAGTGACTTGTAATTCAAGACCAGAATTTGCCTGGCATTGCTCAGTCATTCAGTATTAATCATTTCTTGTGTGAAGCTGTCAAAGCCACAGATTTGGTACATTCCTTTCCTTGGCTGAAATACATTTAATTTCTTTTGTAGATTTTAAGAAATTCAAAAGTTGGCAAGAATGCTTAGAGAGCAAAATCACTTGCTATCAAACCTGATGACCTGTGCTTGATTCTTGTAACCCATATGATAGGAGATAACTAACCCTCACAAGTTGTCTCTGACCTCCACATGTACTCACGCAGTGTAAACATGAAGACGTAATAAGTGGAGGAAAATTGACGATGCTGTCTACTAGAACAGATCATATGATGAGCCAGTCATGGTGGCTCATGTCTGTTAATCCTAGCTCTTGGGATGGTAGGACGGGAAGATTACTGTGAGTTCCAGGCCAGCCTAGACTACTATGGCAGATCCTGTCTCAAAGATTTTTTTGTTTAGTTCAAGGCCAGCCTGATGTATAGTGAATTCTAGGATAGCAAGGGCTATCCTAGAATAGGATGTAGGGTGGGGGGAAGTAAAAGAGAAAAGGACTAGAGAGATGGCTCAACAGTTAATGAGCTGCTCTTCCAGGGGACCTGGCTTCATTCCCAGCACCCCCATGACCGCTCACAACCATCCGTAACTCCAGTCCCAAGGGGATTGGCCTCTGAGGCCACTGCATGCACATGAAGCAGACATACATTCAAGCAAGTATTTGTACACATAAAATAAAAGTAAAACCTTAAAGTTATTAAAAATTACAGAAAGCTGAATATGATGGATATAGCACATGCCTATTATTCCAGCTCTCAGGAGGCAGAAACAGGTGAATTTTGTGAGTTTGGGGCCAACCTGGCCTACATATCAAGTTTCAGGTCATCCTGAAGATCCTGTCTCAAGAAAAGTTTTTTCCTGACTGGACTTGTTTGTTGGAAGTCTTTCCCACTCGATGGAGTCAGCATACTGCCTCGTATCTGCTGTCAGTCAGCCCTAGCATGTCCTCACTGGAAGCAACTCAACTTGTGCTAATAGCCCTTCCTTCATTTTCTGAAAGCTGGTTGCTCTCGACTCAGTGTGATGTCTCTTGCCTTTTAATTGACACTAATTGCCCATATTTGTGGAGGACAATGTGATAATTTGATACATGTATTCTAACAATCAAATTAGGGTAATTGACATTTCCTTCTTTTTAAAAAATGTATTCTTTGGTGGCAATGTGTTATCCCTGCTGTTCCTTTCTCTGTTCCACCATTCTTCTTAGTTAATTTTTGCATATAGCCTCACTATATAGTCCCGGCTGGCCTGCAACTCTCTACATAGACCAGGCTAGCCTGGAACTCATAGAGGTCTGCCTGCTATGCTTCCTGAGCTCTTGGATTGAAGATGTTTTCACAAGCAACTCAATTACTATTGCACAGGTGTGCATGCATACCACGGGTGTGTGTGTAAGGGAGAGAGAAAGATAGAGACACACAGAGAGAGAGGTGAGCTCAAGTGTCTTCCTTGGTCACTCTCCACCATATACATTGAGGCAGTGTCTCTTGCTGAACCCAGAATTTTTCCTTTTGGTAATCTGGCTCCTTGGGCAGTCCCTGACTCCAGCTCGTAAGTGCTAGGGTTACAGGTGGGCCACCACCCACCTGCAATTTTTGTGTGTTTTAGAGATCCACACTCAGCTTCTCATGCTTGCTGAGCCATCTCTCCAACCCTCTTGATTTTTCACTTATTCTTTTTATTATCTATTTATTTTTCCTTTCCCAAGAGTGGCTGTCCTGGAACTCACTCTGTAGACCAGACTGGCCTTGAACTCAGAGATCCAGTTACCTCTGCCTCTCCAGTGCTGGGATCAAAAGCATGTACCACCACATGTACCTGGTCAGAATTTCTTTTTAAAACTGGTAATCTGTGTTTGAAGAGTTGTCTTTTCTTCCAGTGGATCCAAGTTCAGTTCCCAGTACCATATTGAGTGGCTCACAACCACCTATAACTCTAGCTCCAAGGGATCCAACTCTCTCATCTGGGCACGTGGGCACGCACGCACCAAAATTTTTAGACTGGTAACTCCTTGGTTCTTTCTGCCCAGCCCATCATTCATATATCAATGAGACAACCTGAGATTTGTGTGAGGTTGTCCCAGGTATCATCTAATACTCAAAGATTGACTTTAGGCCAGGTGTGGTGGTGCATACCTGTAATCCTAGACAGGAGGCTGAAGTAGGAGGATCACCAGTTTGAGGCCACCTTGGGCTGTTCAGATTGTTCATGTTCCTGCCAGTCTAAAACCTTTTCAAGCTGTGTAGAATTGAAGCTCATAGATGTGTTGATTGGAAATCTGGGAAAGAAAAATTTTCAAGGAAAATGGATTTAAGGAATAAAAGAGAGGGAGAACAATGAAAGATAACATGGCTGTTTTCAAGCTTGTGAATGATTGGCTGCGTGGCCACAGGTACATCTCTTTTCCATGACTTCATTTCTCTTCAAAGTAAAATACCAATTCTGGTTTTTTTGAAGTTTGGCATACATTTTGTGACTCAATAAGATGGGCATAATTATTTTTATAAACATTGAAAACTGAGTTTTGGGGTGGGCCATATATACCATGCTGCTCGGTGGTCGTTTCTGTTCATCTGTTATTTTTAGAGAATGTTTCAGTAAGTAGTCCACACTGGCCTCAGCCCCTAGTTTCCTGAGTGCTTGAGATTACAGCTCAGTGCCACTTTGTCTGGTCTAGACATTGAGGTCATGACCCTTAATTCCCAGCTATGTGGTCAGGTGCCAGAGACCAGGATTCCAGCAACTGCTCTGCTCCCTTTCTAGCATTCAGTAGCTATTCCCAGGTGTGATGTGTGGCGTGTCTCTTTTCAGGTAGAATGGAAGAGTCTCACTTCAATTCTAACCCGTACTTCTGGCCTTCTATCCCCACAGTCTCAGGGCAGGTAAGTGGTGTTTGTTTTTTTCTCCCCAGTGTTTGTTTCAGCTCTGAGGAGTAAGTTCTTCATGATGTTTCTGCTGTGTGGAGGCTGAAGCAAAGGAAAACATACCTTGTTTCACTGAGGGTTCCATAATGCGTGGGTCTGGCTCCTGTTCAGAAATACCCATGTCAGGCACTGCTTCTTGATCTCCAACAAGACAGTGAAGCGTCCTTAAGGAGCAGACAGAAAGCAGGCTTGCTCAGTCTGAAGAGGGCGCTCCTCTCCCCTCCTTTCCTTTTAGATTGAAAACACAATGTTCATCAACAAGATGAAGGATCAGCTGTTGCCAGAAAAGGGCTGTGGACTGGCGCCACCTCACTATCCCACACTGCTGACAGTGCCTGCCTCAGTGTCCCTGTCCTCTGGCATTAGCATGGACACAGAGTCCAAGTCAGAGCAGCTGACCCCACACAGTCAGGCCTCTGTTACCCAGAACATTACTGTGGTCCCTGTGCCATCTACAGGACTGATGACTGCGGGTAAGCGCCCTTGCTTCTCTCCGATCTGAGGTGTTGATCTCTCATGGTCAGTACCCCAGTCTGGAGGGCTTTGAGGACATGGGGAGTGGGGTATGTGTTTAATTCCTCAATCAGATTTTTATTAAGTGCCTACTGTGTACCTAGCAATGTGCTAGGCATTGTGGGGGATACAAAGAAGTAGAAGATGCGTTTCCTGCCTTTGAGGAGGTGACATTCTTTCCTTCTCTGAATCAAGGCGTCTCCTGTTCTCAGAGGTGGAGAAGAGAAGGGAGTCAATCAAGGGGTAAATCTCACTGTTACCAGGGGGGCTGGGGAAAGGGCTTAGGAAACCATTGTTTTTGTACAGGGTTTGGGATTTCCTGAATAGTAATGGGCTGTGGGGTGGTGGTGAGGGGTTAATTAGACAACCATCTGGGGGAAATAAAATAGATTAAGAGTTAGAGGTGAACAGCATGACCCCATCTCTTTTTTCTCCCAATCCTAGGTCCTGGTTTGGTAATCACCTCCCCCTCAGGCTCTCTTGTGACCACAGCCTCATCAGCTCAGACCTTCCCTATTTCGGCTCCCATGATTGTCTCAGCTCTCCCCCCTGGCTCACAAGCCCTACAGGTGGTCCCTGACCTCTCCAAGAAGGTAGCATCAACCCTAACTGAGGAAGGAGGCGGTGGTGGTGGTGGAGGTGGCAGTGTGGCTCCTCCTAAACCTCCTCGGGGCCGCAAGAAGAAGCGGGTGCTGGAGTCAGGGCTTCCTGAGATGAATGACCCTTACGTCCTTGCCCCCGATGACGACGATGACCATCAGAAAGATGGCAAGACCTACAGGTAGGAATCATGGCCGGGGCAGGATGGGTTGAGGGTCGCTGTCTCAAGCCTCCCCTGTCTTCTTTGGGTCCTGCCCCAAGTCAGGCTCTGCTGTCAGCAGTGTCCCCCTGAGAGCCACCTGCATGTCCAGGTGTCCTGCACTGTGACAGGGAGACAGCTGCTGGCACTGCCCGTTGTTTAGACCCCTCCTCCCGCTCCCCTTTTAGACTCAGGTTGTCACTTCCTCACTGAGTTTTAAATGACAGGAGAGTTTCTCTCTTGTAATAAGGCTTCAGAGTGGGTTCCAGACAATGTCTGCAGCTCCTGTTTTTTCCTTTCTGTTTCTTATTTTCCAAGAAGTCTTTCTGGAAAGCACTTTACCTAACCCTGTGCCATCCACCAGCTCTTGGGCTGTGTTGAACACTGAGCCCATCAGCCCCTGCATGGTTGGGATGGGAGGAATCTACATGACAGGTGGGAGGAATAGTAAGCCTACAAAATGACTTGTTCACTTTCTAATTCATGGAAGTCATTTTGATCCTCCACTTTCTCTCACGTTGTCCACTCCAAAAAAAAAAGCACATGCATTTTTGCATGTGGCACTGTGTACAGAGAGACTCCTTGCCCTTTGAAAGTTGAAATAACTTTAATCTCCTTCAGAGCTGTCAGGGTCCCTATAGTGGGTTTTGGACACTTGGTCCCATGGTGCAGAATGGGTTATTATCACAGCTTTGATATGGATAGACAGGGGCAGAGTTGCATGGCTGGGAGACTGGTTCTGTCCTTAGTGTACCGAGATGGGCAATGTTGTTCCCATTTTTAGGAGCGAAGGGAACTGCGGCACAGGAAATGGACAGAGCCTTGGGCTCATGGATTCAGTTCCCGGCTCCACCACGAACTTGCTGTGTGACCCTGGGCAAGTCCTTTTCCCCTCTCTGCGCCTCAGTTTCCTCATCTGTAAAATGGGGAGAATTCGTTGTATGCCTCCCACTTGTTGGGAGTATAGATAATCTTTAAAATGTTGGGAAGTTCAGAAGGATGAGAGTGAATTATTACTTAGCATTATTTACTTGAATTGTGTAGTTCTATGGAGAGAGTATCCACAAGTCCACTCACTGTTTAAATGCCTCTTTCCACGTGAAAGAGAGGGCGGTGTTGCTATGCAGAGTATATTGAGCACTGCAGAATTCCAGCTGTAATTCAGAAGTTCATTGTAGCTTTATTATTACAGGTGTACCCCACTTTATACAATAAGTGTTCCTGGAAAATGTTTACATCATACCATATTATAAAGGTACCTGACACGTTTGATTCATTTAAAGGCATTCTTTTACTATATCAGTTAAAATGAAAATCCCTTTTTAACTTGATTGCGTAGATACGTGGAATTTTTTTTAATGTATTTACTTAGAGTGAGGTCATTGTGACATGAGGTGCATTGATATAACATGCTGAAGTAGAGGCGGCAGTCCTTCTGGTTGACTAGGGTCCTCGGTTCTGCCAAGTTAATTTTTTTCTCCATACTAAAATTATTCTGAATTTCCCAACTATGTATGAATATATACATGTATGTGTATATAAGGAACTGTTAGTACACAGTTGGAAGGAAGCCTTCTACCCTCAGTAGTTTTGAAATTCTTGAAAGCCCCTCACTTGATTAAAGGGAACCCTGAAGTTGAACTGTGACCATCCTAGTTGAAAAAAATTCATTCAGAAACTTAAAATTCTAAAGTCCAAAGGAATCTTCTAAATCACAAGAACCCTGGCTTTCTTTCCTACTGTGCAATTAAACTTAAGAAGAATCATGATTTTGGTGCCTGTGCGAATCAGCTGTTTCTGTTGGTAGCATGACTGGGTATTGGAGGAATTAGGTGCTGTTACTGTGGACAAGTCAACTTGAAGTCTTTGTTCCCATCTGTGAAATAAATGGGAAGGTCAGTGAGGTCTATTGTGTGAAGATATTTTGAGGGGAAATCTGAACATTTAAATTGTTTGTAGCATCTTAGGAAAAAAGCTAGAATAATTCAAAGTGATTATTGAAGCCCAGGCCATTGAATTGCATACCATTCTGTTTTGGTTTTTGGTTTTTCTGTGTAGCTTTGGAGCCTCTCCTGGCACTCGCTCTGTAGGCCAGGCTGGCCTTGCCTCCCGAGCGCTGGGATTAAAGGCGTGCACCCCACCACCTTGCACATACCACTCTTACTCTCTGATGTACATGGTGCCTGTTGGAGTAATGGACTAAATGATGTTGGTACTAGCTTTCCCTCCCCACTGCCACAGCTGTCCTGAATCAGATTTCTAACCACCCAGCACCTTACAGTAAAGCACTTATTTGACTTCCTAGCACTTCCAGAGTTTCTAAATACAGGTTAAATATTCCCTGTCCAAAAGTGGTTGAGACTTTGACTTTTTTTTTCTCAAAATTTGGAATATCTGCACATAAATAATGAGATACCTTAGGGATGGAGCCCAAGTCTGATCATGTAAATTTGTCAAGCTGGATGTGGTGGCTGGAACACACCGGCAATCTCAGTACTCAGGAGGCTGAGGCAGGGGGATCAGTTCGGTGCCACCCTGGTCTACATAGCATCTCAAACCAAAAACACAGTTGCTGTGAGGCTGCTCTGAGACTGTGGGTCTGCCAGCCTGCCTTAGTCCTGACGCAGAAAGGCATAACTATCCTCTCTCTCCAGATAATGGCTCAAACCTAGGAGTGCACTCCCTCACACTCTGGACTTTCTCACTCTTTCTCCGAAATTTCTCCAACCCATGTAACTGCTAAGCTGTCCTGTAGCTGAACCTTCATGCCTAACTCAAAAAGGCATGGCTTTCTTTTCCATCTTCCTCTTTTGGGCATCTGCTAAACTTTATAGCTTATCTTCCCTGCAGTTTTTCTTTTGAGCTTTAATAAAATTGTGTTCAAGTTTTAAACAAGAGAAATTAATTTGTTTAAATATACCTTACATAGGTAGCCTAAAGGTAATTTTACATAGTATTTTAATGAGACTGTTTTGACTTCCTTCTGTACCATGAAGTAATGTGTAGGATTTTCCACTTAAGGTGTGGTGTCACTGCTTAGACAATTTTGGATCTTGGAGGATTTCAGAGTTTAGGTTTTTGGATAAGGGAAGCACAGCCTGCCTTTTACTGGTCACCTAAGGTCATTGCTGTTACCTGGCAGGTAACAGCCTCTGCATGAGTACTTGTCATGCCAGGACTATGCTGTTAGCTTAGCATTGTGGCATTATAGGGGATAGTTTGTCCTCTGACAAATTGTTTTTGGAGCTTTGGGGTTCCTTTTTATAGAATTAGAATACCTACCAGGGTTATTTTGAGTAAAAACAAAGGTGCTTAAAAGTACCTACCCCACCCAGTCTCTGTCCATCTCAAACAGCAGTTATGGTCATGATGACTGTCTGACAGCTGTCATTGGCATTGTTATTACACCCTAGGATCTTCTTAGAGTTGTTACTCTGTTGCCAGTCGTTTGTTTTGTTTTAAGACAGGGTCTCATTCAGCCCCGACTGGCCTTGAACCCTGAATTGTCCTGCCTCCTACTTCTTGAGTGCTGGGGTTACAGGCCTGTGTGGTTGTGTACTCAAGTTGTCAGTCTGTTTTAGTTAGGGTTTTCAAATCCTTCTCTAATTAAAACATTGAAGATTTTATTTTCTTTCTGGCTTCTTAACACATGGTCTCTCACTGTAGTCCAAGCTGAAATACAGGCCTATCACAGACCTACCTCAGTCTCCTCTTCATAATTAACTTTCACTTCAAGGGATTTGAATTAAAATGTATGATTAAACTTACTATCTGAATTAAGATGTGTTGGTGCTTAAGGTACAGTTCAGTAGTAGAGCATTTACCTGGTATGTGGCAGGATCTAGGTTCAAGCCCAAATAGTGTAAAAACATTTTTTAAGCAATGAACATGTTCTACCTGAATTGAGAAATTTTACTTATCCAAG